TGTGGGCGCTAGACATTGGTCCTACTTAAGGGCCACTAAGTCAATTCTTGTGAGGGCTATGGGGTGAAGGATTTCGCCTATTCTGCACCCAAATAATGAGAGAGGCCCATTCTTACTAGTGTTTGACTTCACAGGTTAACAGTATCACCAAACAGATAGAACCCCACAAACCCAAACCCACCCCAAAGTGTGGGGGGTGGGGGTGGGGGGCCTTTTTTCACCTTCCTGCACAGAAATATTCCACTTTATTATCACATCTGTTACACCATTGTGGAGGACAACATGATTAAGCTTTAACTGAGTGAAATGGCAAATGGCAAATTGGCATGGCTAGCTATCATCAACCCATCGATCTCAAGTCAAATTTATCATGTAGTATCCAAGATTTTCCATGTACAATTTCCAGCTTTCTTTGCTTGCTTATAATGATCAGCTCGAAAAATAAGCCTACCTTTTTTCGTGAGAAGATAGATAAAAGGGTATGAATGTATAATTAAGGCCAACAAGGTAAGCTTACTGGATGGGGATCCATAATCACCCATTTCAAACCTTCCAATTAAACTATTTGTAACTTTAATTAGCAAGAAAAAGTGAACTAATCCATTTATATTAGGAAAGGAATCATCACTATTCGATGGTGTACATTGGATAAATTACCCTCCTAGAATAAACTAGTAATAGTTCACTAGAAAAAAAAAACGCTTTTAATTCAACCCTCTCAATTTACTCATCTTCATTTTTTGTTCTTTAATTGTCTCAAGGTGGCTGTTTCAATTCCATCATTGAGTGTTGTTAGTGTTCGATTAAAAAAGTCATACAGACACTTGAGAAACGAAAAGTGATTACAATATAATGAGAGACGAAATATTATTTTCCTAACCATAGGGTGTACGTGGATGACATGTCACGGGTCTTTTTCAGATCAATCAGTACTTTTGGGTTCGAATCCAAGAATGCAACTATATTGGGTTCGAATCCAAGAATGCAACTATATCTTAAAATTCACAGGAGAATATTTTGCCACCATTAATAAGATTTACTCAACTTAATTGAAGGCAACTATATCTTAAAATTCACAGGAGAATATTTTGCCACCATTAATAAGATTTACTCAACTTAATTGAAGGCAACTATATCTTAAAATTCACAGGAGAATATTTTGCCACCATTAATAAGATTTACTCAACTTAATTGAAGGCAACTATATCTTAAAATTCACAGGAGAATATTTTGCCACTGGCGTTGAGATTCAAACCCATGACCTTTGGTCTGACTCTAATACCAAATTGAAGCATGTGTTCCATCTCAACTAAAAGCCTAAGCTGATAGTTGGATACACATTAATGGATATATGCTCATATGCTCACAAACTTGAACATGATTAGTTCAATATATAGTCTTAATTAGTTGATTGAGGAAATCTACAATAATATTTTTTTTTAAATATTATTTTTTCTATAATTTGTGGGTGAAAAAAGAAAAGGAAAAAAAAAAGAAAAAAAGAAAGAAAAAAAGAAGCCATTGTTCCATATACTATACATAATACATGCATGTTGTATATAAAGTTATGTTGCAGTCAAAATATATATAGAAGAATAAAAGATCCCAAAACTCCACTGTTTCCGAAGACTGAGATGAGACAACAGAATGATATGGACCTAGCTTCCAAAGCATACAAGAAAAGAAGAGAAAAAACTAAGTTGTGGAGTGGTGGTGAGAATTTTTAAGCAGGAATAACATTCCTTTTTTTTTTTTTTTAATGATAAACTATACTCTTTTATATAATAGTTTGTAAATCATGCGAGAGATAAATCACATTAAAAAAAATTGTACATAATAGACTCGATTAAAAAAGTGTTGACAAGAGTTGAATTCTTAAAATTTTAAATACGAATTATGATTTGTCGGTTTGATCACCTATTTCGAGGCAAAACTAGCTTTCTTCTTTAAATTCTTAACTCCAAAGACCCTATATCTTGACCGAATAGAGTATTTGTGAGCGGGGAAGGAATCAAAATGCTTCAATTTTTATTCTTTTAATCATGCCCAGTTGCCCACTACATATACATAATCTATTTCCTAGAAGACTATGTGACGCTCCTGTTTGCTCAAAGTTGACCCATCTCAACTTTTCCATACTTCAAGTTTGCTTTGTCGCTTCCTCGAACGACGCCGTTTATGGGAGTGCATAATGGGAAAAATATAAAATATCCTCTCTTACTTTTAGCAAAACTGCAACTAAGATTTTGAATTTTCAATTTTGTGGATTTAATGTCAATATTAACAAATTTTGTGCAATTATGTTTCAAACTTTTCGGTGTAAAATGATTGCTAATTGGAAGTTTGGAACTTTTTTAATTAGTTATTGTCACCGTGGCGTGAAGCATTCAAGTGTGCAAATTAGATAACAAGTAACCACTACTCCCTTTCTCTAATTTTTCACGAGTTTTAATCTTCAAATAATGTGAAATTTTACCTTTTTGCAAATCTTGTAGGCTCACAATGAATTAGATATATAAAATTGTCTCTATTTTCCTTCCATATACGTTTAAAAAAAAAACATGAGCACAAATATTTTTCCCCTGCATAATGAGTTGATTGGAGACTTAAAGTTCGACTCTTTGTAAGAATTGCCTAATCAACTATCTATAACAATATAAACTAGTTTACCTTCTGATGATCTTTTGCTAGCTTAGATCACAAAATAAGCTTAACCCAAAACACACCAAATCACAATAAGCATGTTGTAACTGGCGATGACGTTGGTTTGGTAGTCCAACAGTGGAGCGTAATGCATACCAACTGTTTGTGTGTATGCATACTCCCACTTTATCATTACTGGATTGATTATCAACATCAAATCAATATATTCTTTTATTTTAACTTTTTTGTATAAAGATCATCAAATCATGAATTTATAAACGTTATTACAATTTTTTTTATAAAAAAAATCTAAAATGTAAATTACCGCCATCATATCATCACGCGTTTCTGTGATATAATAATTCCCTCCATGCGTAAAAAAGGAGCAATGAAGCTGTGCTTCCTTTTTAGGCCAAAAACTCAAACCAGATAATCATGCTGCTTTGGAACATACTTCAATCTTTCTACTCCCTCAGTGATCCTAAGTTTCCTAGCCCTACTTTTTCCACAATTTTCATGATTACCTATAAACGGTGACCGATTTGGGAGCAAGAGCAAGGGTACAAGGGCTGAGGAATGGTTAGTACTACAATTACCGACTTAATAAACCCAAATCAAAGCCAAAATATTTGTCTGCTTTCGGTGATAGATAACATAAATGGTACCATCAACCTAATCCTTCTTCTCCCAAGAAGGTTGAATCCCCAATTATAAGAGCTCCCACACCCCGACAAAGCATTTGAAAAGATCTAAATCACAACTCAATGACAAAGCAAACAAAATCAAATACTAGTGCGCACAAAGAATCTACCCACTTTAGACCCTCGCAATGCCGCTACCAAAATTCGAACATTGATACTGAACCACTAAGCTAAACCCATGCTCCATCAACCTAATCCTTGTAGGCTTTTTTGGGGCGTTGTTCTCTTCTGTGAGATGATTAGTTAATTTGTTCGCAGTTTTAACCAAGATCAAATTTTAAAAAACAAAATAGTAAAAATTGCAAACCCAGAAAGTAGGCATTCAAAAGTGTTAACCAGAATGAAAAGAGGTAAGAACCACAGAATGAAGACATATGCAGATTGCAGAATAATGACTGAAAAAGAAAAGAAAACATAAAATTTCCAGCACGAAGGCAAATTATTCCTGTTGTTAAGCTCCACCATTGAGGCACCTGCAGAGCATACCTGAATCATCAACTTAACAACAGACCACCTTGTAACAACAAAAGGTATCGTTTGTGTACAACATGCTACTCACCTTGCATAGCAGGATTGAGTTTTAGGTCGGTCATTATGAACTTCATCTTCGGGGGCACTAAAAAAAATTGAAACAACAATGCACCAAAGCACCATTGAAAATTACTGAATCTGTCGGATTCCCCACTGAATTGGTTGGTCTGAACTCTGAACTTCAGATAAGAAGACATTTCCCCCATAAAGTCCGTTAAGTCCTTAAAATACAATATCAGCACACATCCCCCCAAAGATAATCAAGAAAACAGCTCTCAAGGATCAATCCAACAAATGGGTAAACTATAATAATGACTAAAAGAGCACAGCACAAAAATGGTCAATCAATAACCAAGTACTGGTTAAAGCTGAAAAGCTGCATAACACCCAAAGACTATCATTGAATTGCCTAACCCCCATCCCAATGGCATCCATTCAGTAAGGCCAATATCTATAATACCCAAAGACATCATTGAATTGCCTAACCCCACCCCAATGGCATCCATTCCGAAAGGCCAAGATCTATAACATAAGCCATAATATGAGTAGGTCAGTCCAGTACTCCAGGAATTCCACTCCGGTCCCTCAGCTGTGCTTAAACAGCAGAACCCAACTAAAAAACCTGCCACCCAAAATGGAAAATGCATACACAGATGCACAAAAACACTTACGCACGACTGAGTAGCTCAAACCCAAATCAAGATGACATGATGCTATTCTCCATGAGGAGGTAAAGATCATTTTCTCCTGCACTTGTAATACTGGCATAAAGATTTTTTTTAAATATGAAAGAAATATTTTTACTGAAACAGGAATCAATTCAACACAGCATTCAGGGCACTATAAGCATCCTTTACCACCTGCTACTAGCTGTATGGAAGAAATCAGAATGAGATTATAAGAAAACTAGAATAGTGAAAGACATGGATCCAGTAATACTTATCAAAATTATATAACCCCCGGCAACTTCATATTTCAAGATTCTATCATCTTCTAGGAAAGAAATGTAGATCGATGCAAGAACCACGCTTCTTCCTGAATTGTCACACTTCAATAGTGCAACAAACTGAGAGAGACAGGTAAGTTGGAATAGTAAACCCAAGCAAAAACAGGAAGATGTCAGAGTTGAGGAAATACAAACAAATTGTCAGCAATTTAGTAACCCAAAAACATCCAAAACAGATTAATTGAAATTTAATAATAAGATGACGTGAGGCAAAAATAACCATCAAAACAATAAATCCTACAAAAGTTGCAACCAATATTATAAACCAATCCCGCAAATGGAATTGTCAATGTGAATTTGTAAAGACAGAACTTCAGCCCATCTCTCTGCAAATGTCATAACAGTACAGCAAGGTTAAAGATGTGAGTCCGAAACTTCCAACAAGTAAAGTCATGGCAAGAGGTAAGAAATCGGAAGAAGTGCTCCAAGAAATCATCCTGTAAAATATTACAACATTAACAACGAAGAAGTGTTAAAATGAAAAGTCTAATCCAAAACAATTGAACTAACAATATTATTCACTTATGATGTAGACAATGAATGATATGAACTTTTTCCAAGGTAAAAGAAAGGCTCAGAGGCGGCTCAACTTCACAGTTTGCACTTTTTAAAAAGCAGATAGGTGTGAACTGGAAGCAAATGCGCATCTGCAAATCCAGGAAAATTAATGAAAGGAAATAACAAATAAATGAAAGTTCGTGCTGAAGGCTCTCTTTTTTTAAGCTTATAACTCATTATTTGAGTACAGGGACTTAGATCATCACTTAGTCACTTACCCACGGAAAGGATTAATAATTTTTAAAATTTATTAGTCATTAATTTTAAAAAAAAAGTACTGACCAATGTTCATGCAAGGACTGGGAATAAATAATGGTATGCAACATTGCATCCATTCTCAGGGAGGTTGTTATCCAATCTTAAAACAATAACCATGGTCAAAGGGTGAAGATTTTGCAACTACACTAAGCCTAACAATTTTAGAAAGGACCCTGAATATTTTCATTTTGTTATAATACAAAAAAAGTTCAACATGACTTTGTAATTTGGAAAAACTCAGACAATCAATCATCTAAGAGGCAGCAACCTATGAAATTAACAAGTCCTGATTGCATTTAGACACTACTTCTATAGACATATTTGCGAGTATTTAGTTAATACAAATGATCAAAATTCCCTTGCACCTTGCTTTACACTAAAAAAATAAACCAAAAAGACATTATTATACAAAAGGGCGGTAAAAGGCAACCATAAAAACAAAGCAGCCAGAATACTGATTTACCTTGCAATGCTAGCAATATATTTCCTTTTCATTTCATCTCTGTCATGAATTTTTCATATTCTGCATCTGCACCATAGGATGACTTGTCTGCAGATTGCACAGGAGCAGGGGGTGGAGGATTTGGAGCCCATGGAACATTGCCCACACTCTGTGAATAGTCGCCAGTTGACTGTGGCACAGGCCCAGGAGGAGGAGGAGGTGCAACACCATAATAAGCGGGGTAGCTGTATGAAGATGTTGGATATGCAGCTTGGGCATTTGATGGCATTTGAGTGACAGAATTGCCATAGGCATATGTGGGCACAGACTGAACAGGTGCACTACTCTGAGATTGAACTCCAGGGGGGTAACTTTGCTGCTGACTACCAGAAGTGCTGTAACTTTGTTGTGCTTCATTAGAGGGAACTGTTTGAGTAGAGGCACCAGTGGTTGCAGTAGGTAATGGTGGAGGAGGGTATTGCATTCCATAAGGAGGAACAGGTTGACCAGGAACTGGAGAATACACAGCTGAACCAGGAGGTGGAGGTGGAAGTGGGTAGGGGGGATAAGGAGGAGGAGGTCCCCATGGAACTGGAGCACCAGTGTAACTGGGAGGTGGTGCATTCCCCATTGGTCCACCTGCAGTATACTGCTGAGAAGGGTAGGCACCCACAGCTTGATTAGGAGGAGGATATGTAGGAATAGCAGGAGCTGGAGGGCCTGGAGGGACAGTAGGCTGAGGGGGCTTACCAGCAACTCTCACAGCAATAGTTCTACCATCCAGATGATGGCCATTCATGCTAGCAATTGCACTATTGGCCTGCTGAACATCATCATACTTGACAAAACCATAACCTTTAGACTGACCAGTGACACGATCTTTTATAACCTTGGCCATCACAATGGTGCCAAAAGGAGAGAACAAATTGATCAAGCCATCATCATCTAGAGTAGGCGGCAAATACCCAATATACAAGTTTGTCTCATCATACTCCTTAGGCTTGATCACAGTTGACCCTAAACCAGGATGAGAAGAGGCCCCAACCCCACCAGTGCTGCTACCAGTGGCCCAAGGGGGATTCCCGCTTGAACTACCAGCACCAAGAGCTAGTGTTCCAGAGCTTTGCTTAGTTGAAGATTCAGGAATGGTTCCCCCCAACTCTGCCAAGAAGTTTTGATACTCATCATCCATTTTCTTGCCTGTTGTACTTTTTACTGGGCAATCAATAGTGGGATGCCCACCATCACCACAAATTTTACACAGAACATCACTCTTAAAGGTGGAAGTACGGGAAGGACATGCATATTGTCTATGGCCAGGTTCACCACATAATCTACAATATTCCTCATCCCTAATAGTTCCATTTAATGCAGCAAGTTCCCTAAGCTGTTGCCTCTTATGCTCATTAAGGACTTCATCAACCGGCTGCAAGAGCTTTTCAACCATGGCTGCAGCAGCTTCAAGTGACTCTGGGGTCTCAGCTTCGACCAACACATGTAAATCCTCATTCTCAGAAGGATCAGGTTTCATATCTCTTTTCTGCTGCAACCTGCCTTCTTTCATTGAACCTTTTCCTCGGATTACAATTTTGGCTCCTGTCTCCTTTTCCATCCTTTTCTGAGTATTCCCTCTTGGTCCAATGATAAGTCCAATGAAGTTATAACCTGGGTACTCCTTAACAGGAATGTATAGCTTCTTTTGGAGTTTTGGAGGTCTATAATCAGCTGGAGGCTTAAATGCTGGATTTTTCTTTATTATTTGTGAAATAATCTCTTGTCTTTCTCTATTCAGTTTTTCTCGGGCTCGGTACTCCCTAGTATTTATTCTGATCCCCATGTTATCATAGATAGGTTCAGGAGAGGGTGAGCGAGCACCTTCAGGCCTATCGTCTAAAGGCAAACCAGATTGCAATTTCCGACTAATCTCAAGTAACCTACTGTTTAAAGCCTGAATCTCAGGGTCAAATTCAATACCTCCCGTGAAATCCTTCATAAAATCCGGCAGCTGAATCAGAGGTTTAGGCTCATCATCCGCCCACCGTGACTTCCTTTTCCTTCCGGTTCCAGTCCCTGTCCCGCTCCCATCACCGCCAGTACCAGTGCCATCGTTGCTCGACTCGCTAGGAGGAGGGTCCCACCGGCTCCTGCGACGCCTCCTGCTGGTAGTTTCCTCTTCGCCGCCAGACTGGTCCTTATCGGTACCACTGTGAGTATTCGTGAGCCCGTTCTCCGACAGCAAGGGTTTGCGGAGCTCGACCTTCGGAGCGCCATCCTGAGGCGTCGTTTGCTCGTGGTTCTGGGCCGAATTATTATCCATCTGCTGCTCGGAGCTGCCGTGAGTGTTGTGGCGATCCGAATCTAGGGTTTTTCCAGGCTGATTTTGCTCCTGAGGATACGCAGCAACAGAGTGCGATTGGGACTGATCTAGGGTTTGAGAAGGGTTTTGAGGGTACGAATCTGAGTAATTTTGGTAGTATGATGAAGAATCAGAATAATTCTGAAACGAGGACTGATCGTACGAACCCAGCCCTCGGGACGAATGTTGAGGTTGAGTTTCAGAAGCAGCTCCCGGCTCAGATTGGGAATCCATGTAATTGGACTGAAGCGTATCCATCTTTGGGAGGAGAAAATTCAATGAAACGAGAGGGTGGCGCGCCTCGTCGGGAATGAAAGAGATATGGTGGAGGACTGGGTCTGGGGTTACAAGTTATTTGTAGAAAGTGATTCCGAATGACTTCTGCCTGGGAAAGGAAAGGAATAGGCGGCTTAGAGTTCCGTAATTTGTGGGCTTACTGTATCTCAAATCTCAATACCAAGACCTAGACGGGCTCTTCTATATCTTTTACGGGCCTAACACTTTACCATTAACCCCAATAAGATGATATTGGCAAATTATCCAATCGTTATACCGTGCACCAAAACGATGTCGTTTATTAAAATTATATGTGTATTCTATTATAAAATTTCGTACATTCTGTTATATAAGTCTATACATTCGAAACATAAAATGTTTTTTAATGTGTATTATGTTAAGAGTTTATGTTTGTTATGTATTATGTTAGATTATGTGTATTATCCTTTCAAAAAATTTATGTATATTCTATTATAAAATTATGTACATTCTATTATACAATTTTGTACATTTTATTATACAATTCTGTACATTCGAAGTATATTCGAAACATGTGATTTTTTTTAAAAGGTTAACCGCAGACACGTGAAATGTGTGCATTGTGCACCCTGGTGCACGGTATAATTTGCCGCAATTATGTGGATTATGATCCACACAGTGTGGATCATAACAAAAAATATATTGTCAATATACTAAAAATATATTATTCGTGTATTAAATGTGCATTAGAGCATTTATAATAGTGAATTTTTTGTGATTTGTGAATAAAATTTTTGTAAGTGTGATTACTGAAACAGAATTAATTCATTAACTAGTGCACACCATCAAGTTGTGGCTTTATATAGTCCCAAAAAAGAGAGAGAGAGAGCCAAATGCTTTCACAACATGATTGGGAAGATCAAACAATATTGAAAGGGAACACATTTATTAACTTGCTCAAACATTTATCAAGATTATACAAACAAGCATTATTGGCAATGACTTTCATACATCTAACACATGCAGTACTGCACTGGGTAGTTAGTGCTTAATTGTCCAGAGTGAGCACAATGGATCCAGATGTTTTTCTGCTCTCGAGGTCAGCGTGAGCTTGTGCTACTTGAGATAGCGGATAGGTATGATTCATGCGTACCCTTAGCACACCTGATGCAACATTGGCAAAAACCTCCCCAGCACATTCAAGTAGTTCGTCGCGTGTGCTTGTGTAATCCATCATGGAAGGCCTAGTCAAGAACAGTGATTTTGCTGCAAGAGTAGATAAATGCGCAGGATCGGGTGTTCCAGATGACTGTCCAAAACTCACCATGTAGCCCCGTGTTTTCAGACATTCTAATGATCCCTGATCACAAAAACAAAAGTTTCATACTAAAATTTTCAACAGAATCAGCAATTGTTAACAAAAACAAAGAACTAACAAGTCTTTGGGCCATTTGTTAACAAATATAATAAGGAAGAAAAAAAGAAGTAAAAAGTTCTAAGAAGCCTATTTGTTAGCCATACATACATATTTCCCCATTAAGAAGAAACGTGAGGTCATTCAAGTCTTACATCTAGTCATACCAATTTTAATTTAAGCAAAAATTATGTTCAAACATATTTCCAAGCTAAATAATTGTTCACGAGATTTTCACCAGTTTCAGTAAACATTTAACAATAGTGAAGTGAGAATTTAGTACCTGAAAGGTGTCTTTCCCAACAGAATCATAAACAACTTCCACTCCTTTTCCAGATGTGATCTCATTCACACGGGAGACAAAATCCTCTTCCTTGTAGGATATGGTATGATGGCAACCATCTTCTTTAGCTTGGGCTGCCTTTTCTTTAGTTGAGACAGTTCCAATGACAGTTGCACCAAGAGCATTTGCCCATTGACACAAAAGGGAGCCAACTCCACCTGCTGCAGCATGAACAAGAACCGTGTGTCCAGGCTCAACCTGAAATATCATGAAAACTAGCATACTATGAGAAAACTAAAAAAATCTAACAATTCAATATGCATTTTTAAAAACCAAATAAGTTAAAAGGACAAAGAGGGATTCAGCTAGCCAAAGGCTCCCACAAAAGTCTCAAAGTGATGTGAGCACAATCTTTTCTGGGTGCAAAGATGTTAATCAAGAATGCCTCGGAATAGTAATCTGAGTACATTAAATTGCTAAAGGTATACATTCAGTGTACCTTGAAGCATCTGCGAAGTAAAAACTGAGTCGTCATTCCCTTCAAAAGTACAGATGCTACTGTAATAGGGTCAATAGACGGAGGAACAGGCACCACTTTATCTGCAGGGAGGATTTGTTCTTCAGCATATGCTCCCATTGGGCGGCCAGCATAAGCAACAACATCCCCAACTTTTCTTCCTGTTAATCCAGGACCAACGGCTATCACCACACCAACAGCCTCCATGCCTATAACGAAAGAATCACATATCTTCAATTGGATTTGGCATTTTGTGTTAAAAATTCTGGGAGAAATTTCACATATACTGCATTTTCAAGATCTTCTTTAATGAAAAAAAAAATGAATTTCATGGAAGTCAAAACACATATTATCCTGGACTATGGCATCCAATCAGTTTGTGTTGTATTCAAATTAACGGATGATCAACAATTTATCCAATTTTCACTAACTATTGTTTTCTGCACATTGCTGCTATTGGTGCATATTATCATTTCAGAGCCTTAGATACCTATAAATCCTATAACAAAATTATGGCATAGAAGAAAGTAAACCTGGTGTAAAGGGCATGCTAGCAGCCTTATAAACCCCTTTGCGGAAATATATATCAATAAAGTTAACGCCAAGTGCCTGATTTTTCACCTTGATCTCCCCTTCCTTTGGATCTCCTACTTCAACATCCTCCCACTTAAGAACCTATAACCAAATGGTGCAATCAGTTAGTAAACAAAGAGTTGATCAGTTAGTAAAAGTACCTTTCTCAATTAACAAAGAGTTGATCAAACTATAAACCCTGAACCAATCATTACCTAAAAACTCACATAGAACTAAAATCATCTCTCAAAAAAGGTCAAATAATATAACGTATCATACTATCATCAAATTAACATTCAAATGTTTTAAGATGAAAAAGTGAAAATAAGCAAATGTCACATTAACAAGGGAAATATATGCCAATCGTCTTAAATGGGACAGGTAAAAACAAAATTCAATCTTTTGTAATGGACGCTAAGACGGCAAATTCATGAATTTCAATTTAAGTTGCAATGAAAAAGAGGAAAAAGTATGAGAAACCCAAATGCAATTATAAACACTAAACAGTTGTGAGTGGTAATACCTAAATCACAGCATAATCGCTATATTATCACGTATCTGACTACTAAAGAAAATAAATAAAGCTATCGGAAATTGCAGATGAATAAGGAGAGAGACACAGACCTCAGGACCACCGAGCTCGTGAACCCTAATAGCTTTGACCATTTTGGCTGTTGTGGCTATTGTTTCCAGCGATGTAGAGTGAGCTCTCAGTATAAGAGGAACTCTGGTCTTCTCTTTAGCAGCGTTTCGTAGTATACTACTTATTATAGCAGGTGCCGGAGTGACGTGGTCAACTGAGAAATCCGGTTTGCCTACTGCGAGGAAAGAAGACCGTGGAACCTGACGGTTGCGATGACGAAACTGCAACGCCGACGTTGCTAATCTGCTTGATAAGCCCATCTCAACATACAATGCTATTCTCCTAGTACAACTTCCACAATTATCGGTTGTATTTTGTATGGGCCTACAGTTTGCAAAACTAGCCTACTTCAGTAGAGTTGGGCTACCCACCCACTTAAAAAGAAAAAAACATATATACTGGCATTTTCAAACATATCACTTAAGCACAATCGTTATACCCTACACCATGGCGCGCGTAGCACTGTGTGCCGCCGCCTCCCAAAACGACGTCGTTTTGGGATCGTTTTGGGAGGCGCGGTAGGAAGTTGCTGTGATTATGTATATTTGTTCACACAATTATGTATATTTGTTCATACAATTATGTATATTTGTTCATACAGTTATGTATATTTTTTGTACAATTATGTACATTATTTTTATACAATTATGTACATCCGAATCAGAAAATTTGTGTGTATTATGTTAAGAGTTGATGTGTATTATGTTAAAAGTTTATGTTTATTATGTATTATGTTAGATTATGTGTATTATCTTTTAAAAAGAGTATGTATATTTTGTTATATAATTATGTACATTCATGTATATAATTATGTGTATTCTAGTATAACATTATGTACATTTTTGAACAGGATTTTTTTTTTAAAAGAAAAAATAATTGTCATTCACTGGGACGGGAAATTTAAAAAAAAAAATAATTTAAAACGACGTCGTTTTGCATCTGGGTGCACAGTGCAATGCGCGCCGTGGTGTAGGATATAAATTGCCACTTAAGCAAGTTCAATTTTTGTTAAAGTAAGATGTAGACTTAATCAAGAGGAATCCAATTATAAAAGTGGAAATCGACCTTTTACTTTTGAAAGATGGCTAAAGGCGCATTTGGCATGACGGTATGAAGCACAATATAAGAAAATGAATGGTGGGGAAGAGCGGTTAAGATGGGTGGTGGGAGAATTAGTCAGCGATCTCAACTCCGGATCTATATTCATTGGTGAGTGACAGACCCCCTGGGGACCGAGCGAATTGGAGCAAACCACTAGAGGCTAGTTGGCGAACGATCTCGGTCCACGACCATGGTGCCTTTTCGCCCCCGTTGGCTTGTTTTGGTTGTCCATCATCGACCAGAGGGTCTCAGTTTAGTTTAGCCAGCTATAGCGAATCACCGGGGTGAGCGGCAAGTTGTTCGTCTGATGGGGTGGACCACTCGATCGAGCCATACGATGAAGTGATAGTGTAGGGTTATATGTGCGATATTCGGACAGTTGACGGGAGCATTGAACGTGCTCTACATGACACTTGATGGAACACACGTATGGTGAAGGAAGACGGAGCATTGTGGTCCATGCACATGTCCATGACATGCGGCCCTATGAGTAATATAAAAAGTAAGAGTGTCTCATTTAGACCATCATCATCAGCTCTTCTTCTCTCTTGATTTCTCCCTCAATCAATGGCGCGGTATATTAGTTGTCTTTGCGGCCCACTAGTTAGTCGTAGTAGTCCACCCCTGGGGTTGGGCTTGGTAATTTGGTTCCTTTGGACCAAATTTATCCCCTTTTGTTTATTTAATATACTTGCAGCCTGTTTGTATTATTTTAAGGGTTTTGGGCCGTATCAATATAATACGCTTATCGTACATATTATCCCGATATCAACCAACTTTTATGATGAGTCCGATTCATTAAAAACTAGCACTTATACACACACACATATATATAACTTTATGACCCTGTTTGATAAAATAGTTAGTGTATCATCCAATTTTGGCTTATTTGACCACTACTAGGTGTTTGACTTGGTTAAACAAACAATATGAGTATTTGATTACTTAGCTTTTTGTAACAACTTATTACTCCAAAATGCTAAAATTTAAAAAGTTACTCAAAGTAGCTTTTTGAGAAAGTCATTTTTTTTTTTTTTGTAATAAGATAACAACTAATAATTAATTTACCAAACACTTTTCTACAATCAACACTTTTCTACATATATAGCATGAAATATTATATAAAATCTATATTTATTTTAAAAATATCAATGATTTAAGTAGCTTAGTTGGTTGAACTCTAAATTTTATGTTATAAAAGGATTATGTCACTCATTAGCAACACTTTTAATTATCTTTTCTCTTTCATTTCTTCACAAGATAAATTAAATATTTTTAGTCTACTTTTTATGAATCATTTAATTAACAAATTAAATCCTTTTCTAGTCTGATTTTTATAAATCATTTAATTAATGTAGTATAAGTTTATAATATACTTTATTGTATTTGAATTAATTTTAAAAAATCGATCTAACTAAAAGGAATTAAAATTTAAAAGTATTTATGAATATATTGTTATTCAAATTATTTTATCTAATTGATTATGTTTCATATTTTCTCATAAATATATTGTAATTTATAATGTATTTTGTATTTTAATCTTATTATTTGATATTTTGTTATTGACCTTTCTAACGTCATTTAATATTCGTCCCCTCAGATGATTTTCTGGGTCCGCCAGTTGCAACTAAAGAAAGAGGAAAAAGGGGGTGAATACCATGCAGAAAATGAAAAATAACTTAGAGACGCCTGACTATCCGCTCATCTGATCTGCTTGAAAAATATATGGATCCCGACCTTCTTGATCGGTTAAACGAGATGCTCGCATACAGTACAGCCGACGACCCAAACATCTAAACAGATATTTAAAGTTGGCCGATCGATCAGAAACTGAGCCCGACGATTTCCTGGAGGTTGTCTGTCGTTGAGATATGATCACTAGCTCCATGCATGCGAAGTAACACGTACGTGTCTTTTCAAGAAAATTCATATACCCATACCCGGCCCCCTTCTTTAATTGTCATATGGGACAAATTAAGAGGTCGACCGGAAGGAAGAGAGAACAGGAGCTAGATAGCCTTACGAATTGAATGGTGAGGTGCTGATCACTTTCCTGGGAAAAAACATGCAAATAATATAATTTTCATCCGCCACCCGGTCTAGGAGTTGACCACCGCCTGGCTGGCACATAGCACATAGTGTTACAGTTAATTAGACCAGGAAATAGTTTACAAAGAGGTCCGTGATCGGGAAGATTTATGATGCTCGGATATTGACAATCATATCGGCGCAGGGAAGGTCGGGAATTCATTGCTCAGCTCGTAATATTTATGGTGGACAGTGGCTGATGATGACGCCTCATCCTGACAACTCGCCTCCATAGAGATATAAACAATGCTACTTGATTAATTTTCCCATCTTTGACTGATGCGAGCGCGTAGTGTCCGATTTCGATCGAGTTCCAACGACAGCTCTGGAAATTTATAAATTTTGCGATCTTAGTGTATCAAGTATGTAAGCCATGCGTGTGGAAATTAGATAGGATCTGGAAAAAATGGGTCTAAGTGGCATTGCTCTTGTTTGGTAAAAAAAATTGGCATATAGGTCAATTTTGACTTTTTTTGATCACTATTAATTGTTTGATTTAGTTAAAATATCAATATAAGTGTTTGGTTAATTAGCTTTTTGTAACTCCAAAATGTAAAAAGCTACTCCAAGCAACTTTCAATTAGCTTTTTTAGAAAAGAAATTATATCAAACAACTGTTAGTAATGTTATTATTTGTTATTATTATTTGTAATCCTAAGTCTAGTCATATCATGTATTAGAATAAGTCTAATATGACTAGGCTATTAGTTAGGAGATAATAGTGGCATAGTCTGATATACTCTCCTGTATCTCAGTTCTGTTTCAACTGAATAACATTTGTTTCTCTAATCTGGTATCAGCCAAACAACGGTCCTTTCTCTCTCTCCTTTGTTTCGACACACTGCCACCGTAAACCTCCACCCACCACCGCAATGTCGTCTAATTCCTCCGAGAGAACAATCTCCGCCGGCGGTGGCTCATCCCCGTCCGGTAACAATCCTCTTACGGGCGCTCATCACTTCATCTCTATGAAGTTGACGTCCCGAAACTTTTTATTCTGGCGTACCCAGTTAGTTCCGTTTCTTCGCGGACAGGATCTGCTTGGTTTTGTAGATGGCACTTCACCGTGCCCGCCTCCCACCATCGACGCAACACCGGCCGGAACCTCCGATTCCGGTACAACAACGGCGGCCCCGACTCCGAATCCGGCGCACAAAGCCTGGGTTCAACAGGATCAGTCGATCCTGTCTCTTCTCATCTCGTCAATGTCTGACGAGGTTCTTCACCTGGCTGTTGGGCGCAACACGGCTGCAGAAGTATGGCAATCCATCTGCACGGCTCTCGGCTCCAGTACCCAAGCAAGGTGCCTGAGCTTGTTTGGGCAGTTTCAGTCCTTACGGCAAGGTGGCACGTCGACATCGGACTATCTCGGCAAAGCCGAGTTACTTGTGGAAGCTCTCGCACAGGCTGGGCAGCCTCTCTCCCTCCGAGAACAAAATTTATATGTTCTCCGGGGATTGCTATCAGAGTATCGCGCCTATGCGACAGCTACTGTTATCAAACACTTTTCTACAACAGCTAATGTTATCAACTAGTTATACTCTCTAATTAATACAACCAGCTAACCGCTAACAACCATTTACCAAACAGGGCTTAAGTGGTTAGAGAGCTTGTAGGGAGAGAGAGTTGGGAGCCCCTAATAATAGGGCCAAAGCCCTTTTATTGGCCAAGGTTTGGGTGGGTTTGACCCGCCACCTTTGACTTTGACCCGTAGAACGGGATTCGAACCGCTTGACCCCGATCCAATTATAGAACGAAAACTTGAATCCGGGGTATATATCCTATTATTTACCATGAAATGTTTAATAATGTGTAATATTGTATTTTCTACATAATATTGAATACAAAGTTATGGTCATTTAAATAATTTTTTTAATTCATGTAATTATTTAGGGCTCGTTTGGTTCGCGAAAAATATTTTAAGGGAAGTGAGATTGGAATTTCATGGAAAAACAATTGCTAGGAAGATGATTTTCATTGTTTGGTTGGTGGAAAAAGAATTATTGGGAATACTAATTCTATTGTTTGGTTGGATTTGAAATTGTAAGGAATAATGAGTATAAAGATCTATATGTCCCTACAAATTAATAAAAGTAATATAATTAAAAAAGAAAGCAAGGATAAAATAGGCAATCTATTCACTTTTTCTTCCCATCTTCCATGGAAAACAAAATCCTTGGTCCAACCAAGGATTTTGATTTCCTCAAATTTGAGGAATTCATTTTCCAATGGAAAATGAATTCCATGAACCAAACACTAGAAAACAACATTTTACTTCACTTTAAGGAAAATGTTTTCCTTTGGAAAACATTTTCCATGAACCAAACATCCCCTTAGTGTACTACAATTTCATTTGTTCTAAACAACTACAATTAATTTTTATAATTATTTATTTATTATACCATTATTACAAGAATATTTATAATATGTAGCCTTGCAGCACACGATGCAATAATAATAATAATTAAGGGTATTTTTGTCATTTCATTTATTTTTTATATTTTTCTACAATCACTGAATTGCATTCATGAGGGGTGTCCATGAATTACAATTCAGCAAAATAAAGGGGTCATTTACTTCGTTTCTCTGTTTTTCCATTTTCCAATTTCTCCAGTTTTCCTTCCATATTCTTTCAATTTTCCATTTCTCCAATTTTTCAATTCTCATTCCCCATTCCTCTAGTTCTTCATTTCTATAATTTTTTGATTTTATTAAATACAATCATCTCATATAACATTTTTACATTTCTACAACAAAGATGATGATGATGATAATAATAATAATAATAATAATAATAATAATAATAATAATAATAATAATAATAATAATAATAATAATAATAATAATAATAATAATAATAATAATACGAAGAATAAGAATAATAAGAATAATAATAATCTACTATACTAATAAGAGCCCAAGAGAATTAGACCTATAATTGGTATAAAAATGACAGTCAAATTTTTTAATTAAATGAATGGCTCAGATTGTTCAAATTTTAATTTTCCCTTAAGATTTTCTAATTTATCTTTAATGAATTGAATATGATTATTTGTTAACTTTTCTGTTAAATATTATATTTTCCTTTAATTTTTGTTAATTCACCGTTAACTTACTTATTGATTTCAACAAAAAAATTTTAGGTTCGAACCTCATCCAATCAAAATTGACATAATTAATACTCTAGTTTACTCTTATTAAATTACATAATAATTTAGTAGCTACGAATAATAATAATAATAATAATAATAATAATAATAATAATAATAATAATAATAATAATAATAATAATAGTAATAATAATCTTCTATCTTCTATTATAATAAAACATAACCTATATTTCCCGCCAAATTGTTGTTTAGATTGGCGCAATAAGGGGCAATATCGGATTTGTCTACTAATTATAGTTATTCATAATAAACAAATATAATTAATATAATTAATATAATTAATGCGTCGTTTCGAAATACGGCCAGTCCTAATTGATTATACAATTTTCTCGATTTTGTAGATAGTAGTAGAACTCTAGAACCAATACAATACAAATAATACAAAAAGGCGCAACACAGTATTAATTACATTGCCGATACAATAGTTAATATTTAATATATTAAAAATCTAAAAGGGCATAATAATTGTGTTAAATACTCAATAGGGATTTAAATTCTGGCTTCATATCTCCGATGCAACGTATCGGATGACGACCTTGAGTATCCAACGCATCTGATCCTCAACCACTATATAAATAAGGCCGGTAGTAGACAAAGGCCTACGCATTTATCCGCACGTTGCTGAACAACAAATCCCTTCCAAAAATATCTCTCAAACATCATGTACCCAATGTATATTCTATGAAGCGATATCTTTCCGTTCAATGTTCGAGTTATTCTCTTAGGAATTTGCCGAGAGTGATGAAGGGAAAAGTCCTCTTGCGGTTGGTGTTGCTCGCAACCAAGATGTTGTGGGTGATAATTTAGTTGTAAAGAGAAGCCTTCTATATGAGTTCTCATCAACACAAACTTCAAAAGACAAAGTCATTCTCAATGTTAAGCTTGAAGGAGTAAAGTGAGTTATCTTAATTTAGTATTTTTTTAAAAAAAAAGCTATATTGTACTCAGAAAATATTTGAACTGTTTTGAAAAAGATGATGCATCAGACTGTATTATCATCATTTGCAAGCAGTGAATGTTATATATTAAATAATTATATATAATTTGAAATCTAGGAACACATGCAGTGTTACTTACGGACAAACAATTGAGATGCCTTCTTCCAATACTTCAAATCTGCCCATAATTGGGCACATACATTACAAACTGTATTATTATTTTTTAGCTAAATAAGAACAAGATAAAGTAAACTGTTACCAAAAATAAAGAATGGTATAGACAGTTATCAGAAATTCAAAGGTTAATACCCAAAAATATTAGAATTTTGTCCTTTAAACTATATAAGAGTTGGAAAATAATTATACAAAATATCACAACGTGAAGAGATAGCTGATGCATCATTTTACCCAAAGTCAATTTATGTCCCTTTTATATATGACAAATCGGACTAATATATATAATGCTTATACATTGAAATACATACACTACAAAATATGAATTGCTCATACAATTGTCAATCATAAACTAATCTGTATAATATCACTTGCGGTGTTGGAAAAAAGGATTATACATACACTACAAAATATGAATTGCTCATACAATTGTCAATCATAAACTAATCTGTATAATATCACTTGCGGTGTTGGAAGAAAGGCACAAGAACAGAGGATTAAACATTACAACTTTAAGATACCACCAAATTTTTAACTCTCAAAAATATGAATAGGCAACACAATTAATAATCACATTGGTATTTAGAATCAAATTGCTAGAATTCCAAGAATTATTTATCACTCACCAACATCAAGTAACTAACTATACAGCTGCTATAAATCATAGCTATCATAGCTGTCCTAACTTAAATGTTCCAACAAAATTACAACCTATAATACACTGAAAATGAAGAAGCTCACAAGATTTGTTTCGCATAGGATCCAAGAGAAAAAATCATGACAACAACCAGGGTAAGTAGAATATTCGTGTATTATTAAATAATCACGAAATTACACTTAAACATAGAAAAATAACAAAATTTCTGAAAGTATAAGAAACAAACAAGTTGATAAAAAAATGTTAGGATAATTGTGCTTTTGGAATCTAAATGTTTTTAAGCATTGCATGAACATTTAAAAAAAAAAAAAAAACCCTAGGTCTAGAGAAAATAATGTTAAATATTTTCAATTTTGAAATCGGTTTATGTAAATCACAAATGCTTCAGGTAAGAAATTTACGGCGAACACTAAGAATGAAAAATACGAAAGGGTAATGTAAAAAAAAAAATAAAAAAAATCACATATGTCAATCTGCACGTGTTTTTGTTGATTAAGCATATTTATAGTGAAATCCAAGAATATTAATGAACGATCTATGAACTTTAGATGTGAAAAAATTTAGATCTACAAGCTTGAGCTTTCCAGAGAAATAGATGAACTTTAGATGTGAAAAAACACTATAAATAAAACTCAAGAAGTACCATCATTTGCGATTCAACCTGTACTAGCCTCCATAAGATCTCGCCGAAAAATAATCGGCGGCAAACTAGAAACCTGACAAAGAAACAATGTTAGTTGAAATCGCAGGCTAGGTCAGTTAAGTTCGTAGAGGCTTAGATTCTAGACAGAATTAGATGGTTGCGGTGGCCGGAGTGTTGTGGAGAGAGACTGACATTGTATCTAAAGGTAACACAGATTTGATAAAGAGTCAAGAATGTCTTCCACGACATGGAGGTAATTTTTATTATACTGTACATGCAAATAATTAACTGTGCTTAGAAAATAATTTTTTTATTTCTTTATAGTGCACCTATGTTCATGCAAACATTCCTAAAAGACCTTGGTATTTTAGCATCTGAATTAAAGGCCAAGTATCTTGTCCTCCATTCAAGTTTGGAGAATTGCGAGGGATGGCTATGCAACAGATGTCTGAATGTGATGAAAAGAACTGTGAAGCATTGGAAGACATTCCTAAGGATTTACACACATGGAAAGTTGAGGTAAGCAATCAGTGAAGAAAATAAATTAACAGCAATTTATAACCACTTACAAATATCAACACTGCATTAAATAACTTGAATTTTTTTTTCTGTGTATAGTCTTAAGAAGCAGAGAACTATGCAGTGTATAACATTCTACAGGAAGCAGGTCTATATAGTATTCAAGCTTCTTGCCATTAGTCACTCACAGTTTGGAGAAATCAAGATATTTAAGTCTTAAATGGTATCCTAATCCAGGTACAAACAATGAAGGTTGAAGACTAATCAAACTATCAATGAAGCTAGCAAGTCAGAAGTTGAACCTAATTTGGAAGTGTTCCAAATAAGGAATTGATTGGTATGTTTTAATTTATTGTTTCAGATTTTCAGTTTGAATTTTTTTTAATCTATTGTCTCAACTTTCCAGTGTACACTGTTTTTATTTATATATACCTTAATTGTAGAAATATACTGCCCTTCTTTGAATGATGATCATGACCATCTCTGTAGGATGCTTGATGAGGAAGATCAAGAGCAGGAGTCTGAGGTACATACCTAATCTATTCACAATTAGTTATTTTTATTAATTCATTATCTAACTATTTTTTTTTTTTTTTGGAAAATAGGAGAGTGAATCTTGGGATGAAGTTAGCAGTTCTTATATGCCAAACAGTGGAAAGCTAAGGTTGGATGACAATGATGAACCAGTGGAGTCAAGTGCAACTAAGAAGAACATACTAGACCAATTCTCATCGATCAAGCAATGAAGTTAAGGGGTCGTTTGGTTCACGGAATGTCAGATTACCTTAGGGAATGTTAGATTGCTGGGAATGTTAGATTACTGGGAATGTTAGATTCCTGTGTTTGGTAAAAATTGGGGTATGTAATATAATCATGTTTGGTTTAGGGTTATCTTTTATACACACTATAATATCCTTAACATATTTTCATATATTTTAATAAATTTAAAAATTAAAATAAATAAGATAACGGTATCATATATAATTACATGATTTTAAAATATTAACTAAAATCTTGAACTTGAGAAACAAAATTATTTTATATGCTAACATAACATAATAAAAATAAAAAAAATATATAATTACAAAAATAATTATATATATATATATATATATATATATATATATATATATATATATATATATATAAACTAACATAACTAAGGTTATCTTACATTACCTAAGATTTTGAAGGGAATCACATTCCCTTCAAAATCCTATGTGGAGGGAATGTGACATTCCTTGGGAATGTTAGATTCCCTAAGATAATATGAACCAAACACCGGAATGTGAACTTTGGAATGTCGCATTCCCTTGGTTATGTTATATAACCTGAACCAAACGCCCCCTAAGAGATCAAAGGTTGTTCTCATTAATGATTAAACAACAGAGAATCTAAGTTTCTTCTATTTTAATTGATTAAAAAAATTATTTTTGTGTAATTTATGGACAATATGCACTACAGTGTGTATCAGTGTGTTGTTTTTTGAAAACAGTTTCTTACAATATGAATATGCACTAGCAAGTGCATATTGTATCTGTGATGTTTGTGCCTATTTTGACAATATGCACTTTTTTAGAAGTGCTTTATATGCTATGTTTTTTTTTTGTTATTTATTTTATTCTATATTCTATCTGCATGCTTTAGTTAGAATACACCAAATTCACATCTTAAGGGTACTTACTAAATATCATACTTATCAAGTACACCAACATGCCTAAAATTTTTTATGCACATGTTTTTAGAATAGCATATTAAGGCCACCAACATGCCTAGTTGATAGCATTAACTGAATGGCTAAAAATATATGTTTTATATATTTTAATATATATAAATTCTATGAAGTTATATAACTCCTTTAGATATGAACTTATATTTAGAATTTATATATTAATTCACATGTTAATTATATACTTCTTTGATGTAGATATTTCTACATTTTAATGTATTGTTTTGAAGCATTGGACAGGACAATGAGAGATTTAATGCGTTTCACAAATCTTAAGAGCTCAACGATGACCTTTGGAGGGAAAACAGTTGTTCTGGGGAGACTTTAGACAAATTCTACCGGTTATTCCAAAAGGCACTCGACAAGATATAGTACAAGCCAGTATTAATTCTTCTTACTTGTGAAATAATTGTGAAGTTCTTCGTTTAACGAATAATTTAAGATTGCGAAGTATTAGTAATGAAGAGGAAGTTGAGAAGTTAGATAGTTTTGCCAAGTGGATTGTAGATTTAGGTGATGGAAATCTGTAGGGAAGACAATGGTGTTTATTGCAATATAATGATTCCGCCTTCCTTTGTATTGGAAAATGAGGGCGATCTCATTAGACAAATTGTTGACAGCACATTTCCTGAATACCGTTCTAGAAAGATGGATGCAAGACAACTCGAGAGTAGAGCTATTCTGGCTCCAACATTAGATGTTGTCGACGAGGTGAATGAATACATGAACGGTATGAATCAAGCCTCAACAATAACATATTTGAGTTGTGATTATCTTTGCAAGTCAGAGACAAATGTTGATATGCAATCTGAGGTCCACACAACATAATTTTTAAATAATTTGAGATGCTCAGGGGTCCTAACCATCGTTTAACTTTGAAAGTTGGAACTCCAGTTATGCTGCTGAGGAATATAGATCACCCACTAGGGTTGTGCAATGGTACAAGGTTGGTAGTAACACAATTGGGAAATCATGTTATTGAGGCACAAATCCTATGTGGCAACAACGCAGGTACAAATGTGTTGATACCAAGGCTATCTTTGACTCCTTCAGACCCAAGACTTCCATTTAAATTTCAAAGAAAGCAGTTTCGTTTGTTACTGAAAAAAAACAAGTTTTTAACCATGGCCAATTATATATAGCAGTTTCTACGGTAAGTAATCCTGATGGTCTTAAAGTCTTAATTTGTGGGGAATCTGGAGGCCTTTTAAACAATACTCAAAATGTAGTTTACAAGGAAATCTTTAATAATGTGTAATTATTTTGTTTATGAAACAGGATAAGAATGATGAGGCTAAAACTGAAGTAAAGACAAAAACTGAAACAAGCGCACACAACAGAATTCAAACTCGCCACCTCTTAAATAATAATACTGTTCACCCGTGTTTCTCCCATCTTTCATTTGGAGAAGTCAAAATTTCCTTTCTCCAAAATTGTACATGAAGTGGAAAAATGGAGGAGTAAGCATTTGGAAGCAAAATTTTAGTAAACAACTTCTCCAATTTTTATTTTTTCACTTCTCAATTTCTCCATTTTTCTAGAAAATCCTCCATTTTTCCAAGTTAGTAAACGACCCCGAAGAAATTGCAATTCCCTTAAACTAAACAATGTAATTTGCTTTTGTCACCGAAAATATCGGACAAATATAAGCTGTCGCGCTTCAATACACAAATGATGGTGTAGTTTGATGGTCTGAGGCGTGCCAAGCATGCTAGCCCTTCACTGGCCACGCCTCGCCGGCGGTTCTGCCCCTGAAACTTCTTCCCTTTCCTTCTTTGTGTCTTTTTGAGCCACCATGTCTCCTTGTCTTCTTAACCCAATAAGACTTGGGCCAACCTTCTTTCTTCAACACCCCCACTTAGGTCAATACTTTGCCAATAAAATGGACCCTCGGGTCCCATATCTCCATCAGGGCCTCTCACTGATTGGAGGACAGGGCGAGAGTGCCTTCTGGTTTCTTCTCATTTTGGTTTGAGTGAGACCAGGCAGAATCTTGATCAAGGAAGTGGATGCCATACTTTTCGAGCTGGAGTTGAAATTCACACTCAGTGCTGTCTGGTGGGAACGAGCATGTTGCTGAGGAAGTGGTGCGTTGAAATCGTTCACGGGGAGGCTGCAGGACCGAATTCTTGGTGGAAATGAAATCTAATGGATGATAGATCATCTGTATGCAGAGACGACTGGTTCTTCGTCCAGATTGCGCTTGGAAGGAAGATCAAATTCTTCAACGGAAAAAAAACTGAAATGTGAAGATAAATGTATCTATTTCTCAAGATGTGAAGGTTTATTTTTGTGGACAAAAATATGAAAAACGAGTTTGGGACTTGCGTTTTTTGTCAGAAGTGGTCAAATAAAAAACGCAAGTCCCACTTGCGTTTGTGTAAAAAAAAAAAAAAAAAATGGTTGCCGGCGAACTGCCGGCAACACCCTTCTCCAGCACCTTCTCCTTCGCTGGAGAAACCAGCGACCCAAATCGCTGGCTTCTCCAGCGAAGGAGAAGGCAACCAGTGGCGGTGCCGGTAGCCTTCTCCTTCGCTGGAGAAGCCTTCTCCAACGAAGGAGAAGGCCACCGCCACTGGTTGCCTTCTCCTTCACTGGAGAAACCGGCGACCCAAATCGCTGGCTTCTCCAGCGAAGGAGAAGGCAACCAGTGGCGGTGCCGGTGACATTCTCCTTCGCTAGAGAAGCCTTCTCCAGCGAAGGAGAAGGCTACCGCCACTGGTTGCCTTCTCCTTCGCTGGAGAAGCCAGCGATTTGGGTCGCTGGTTTCTCTAGCGAAGGAGAAGGCACCTTCTCCTTCGCTGGAGAAGGGTGTTGCCGGCAGTTCGCCGGCAATCATTTTTTTTTTTTTTTTTTACACAAACGCAAGTGGGACTTGCGTTTTTTATTTGACCACTTCTGACAAAAAACGCAAGTCCCAAACTCGTTTTTCATATTTTTGTCCACAAAAATAAACCTTCACATTTTGAGAAATAGATACATATATCTTCACATTTTAGTCTTTTTTCCTTCTTCAACTCACGACAAACAAAAAAAATGAACTAATCAAGCAAGGTGGCGTGGTGGTTGGGGTTCCAGAAATTTTGGGTTTGGATTCTTCTAACTCCAGCACTTCCATTTCTTTTTTCTTGATGGTAGGAACATGGTTTTTTGCCACGTCCCCGCAGACAGCGTTAAAATAATACCGTTGATTACCCCCTGTGGAGTGTATACAGTATGTATGTATGTATGTGTATGTAAAATGTATGAATGACAGTGTGTATCAAGTATGTAAGCCATGAGTATGGAAATGAGATAGGATCTGGAAAAATGGCTCTAAGTGGCCTTGCTATTTTATTAAGTGTTTAGAGAGCTTGTAGGCAATAGTTATGCTGTGCAACCGAATGCACCATGCACATGGTGCATACGATGCAAAACGACGTCGTTTTGACTAAAAACGCGTGTCCCACTTAAAAAAAAAAAATCAGGTTTGATTCTCGGCAATAGCATTATTGTGGATATATAGTTATGAATTTCTGGATATATAGTTATGAATTTCTGGATATTTAGTTCATTTATTGTGGATATTTAATTCATTCATTGTAGATATTTACTTCATTCATTCACTATGGATATATAGGTATGAATTTATGGATATATAGTTATGAATTTCTGGATATATAGTTATGAATTTATGGATATTTAGTTCATTCATTGTGGATATTTAGTTCAATCATTGTGGATATTTAGTTCACTCATTGTGGATTTTTACTTCATTCATTCACTGTGGATATATAGTTATGAATTTGTGGATATATAGTTATGAATTTATGGATATATAAAAATGCTATTGCCAGGAATCGAACCTGATTTCTTTTTTAAGTGGGACGCACGTTTTTTAACCAAAACGACGTTGTTTTGCATCGTATGCACCATGCGCATGGTGCATTCGGTTGCACAGCATAATTTGCGGCTTGTAGGAGAGAGAGTTGAAAAAAGAGTTGGGAACCCCTAATAATGAGGGCCAAAGCCCTTTCTATAGGCTAAGGTTTGGGCGGGTTTGACCCGCCACCTTTAGCTTTGATCCGTATAACAGGATCTGAACTGCTTGATCCCGACCTTTCCTTTTTTTGATCTCATTTTAGAGGAACTAGAACCCGGGGTATATATCCTATTATTTATCATGAAATATTTAATAATGTGTAATATTATATTTTCTACATAATATTGAATACAAAGTTATGGTCATTTAAATGATTTTTTTAATTCATGTAATTATTTAGTGTACTACAATTTCATTTGTCCTAAACAATTACAATTAATTTTTATAATTATTTACTTATTATACCGCGGGGCAATAATAATAATAATCTATATCTATATCTATATACATATAAAAGCCATAAGGATTCAGCCAATCAAATTTCAACATTTTCCCGCCCAAGAAAAACGCAGCGTTTAGATTTTTTTTTTTAAATTTTTTTTCATAAAGTGTTTGACCAATCAAAGAGTAAGTGTCAGGCTATATTTGTAGGGGAGTGGTCTATCGCGTCTTTGCAGAGTTGGTACTTGGTATCCACTCCTATTTGTAGAGGAGTAGCCTATTCAATTCACTACCTCACTTGCATGCTTATATATAGAAGATACATGTTTAGAGACTACAACTTCAACTCAAATACAAGCTGTAAAAAAAAAAAGAAATTTCATATTTATGGGATCAACGAAGAAGATATCCCCGGGATTGTTGGTGCACAGCTTCGCGTTGTGTGCTGAACTACAAGTTTCAACCTCCTGTCGATGTGCCGCATCCTCAAGTTAAGCCTTTTTCAGTTATCTTCTTCGATTGAATCATCTTTTGCCAATTTTTGGGAACGGATCTGATGGACTTTTGAGTTTCCGGAATAGATTATTCACCGGAAGGATATCCCAAGGATGCTTATCTTCAACTGTTTACCCGCCCCAAGGTTACCCTCCTCCCTCCACAGTACGCAGCCCCGCCACTTCAGCAATCTGCAGGTAGCTCAGGCTGCTTGGAAGGATGGTAAACTTTTCTCAATCCTCTTATCTATGTTGAATCAGAAACAAAAAGTAAAAAATAAAGGTTTAAAATTAATTAGAACACTTTAATCAGGAAAAAAAAGGCATAAGACTCTTTTATCAATAGTTGGTGCAAGATTTTGAAATTCCTTACCTTTGATGTGCCAGATTTGGAAGTCATCTTCCCAAAAATAATTGACTTTCTCGAGAATTATAATTAATTTTCTAACAAACTAATAAGATGCAGCAATTAGAAGATTATGCCCTTATCATGATAGATGAAATAATTCACTCATCTGTTAGCAGAGCTAAGCTGAACCACTTAAAAATTCAACATTGAAGCAAACAAAAAAAATCACATGTAAAAAGTTAAGCACTTAACACCCACACCAACATAAAAATCAATTAAGGAGAAGGTTAGAGCAATAAATGACACTACTTTTTTTTGGTAGATAATAACACTATATTAGATCTAAGGCTTAAATGGAGGATTTTAAACTTACACCAAAGTTTCAAAAGCAAGACTTCTAAAGCTCCAAGATGAAACCAATCATAATCAAGCAAAAGATTAGCAGGTTAGTTCTTTTCTTTCCATTTTCGTAAATTCATATTTAGTGTCATTATTTACGGCCCGTTACAATTATTTATCCAAACTGTTTTTATCTTTCTTAGCATTCTAGCTTTTTTTTTTTTTTTTTTTTTTTTTTTTTCCTTCTTGTGTGATTTAATTTTTACTTAAAATTGGCTTTTTTTAACTTACATACATAGTGATATATACCAGTGTATTTTAGTGTTAAAAATTTATGAAGTTTTTAGACTTGATTTTTAAACTGTCAAAAGTTTTTTTGTTGGATTCAGGCCTATGTTAAAATGTAATTAAATTTTAAAAATATAAGATTTAAGTATCTTGATTAGTTTATATATATATATATATATATATATATATATATATATGTATGTATATATGTATATGTATATATGCAAAAGAATAGTTAACTAATTAAAAAAAAGTTTCTACATGTTTTTTTTGTCACTGTTTTTGGTGTCTCTACTTATACTGATTTTGTCCATTAATGTCTAATTTTGTGATATTTTTTTAGAAAACTTGCATGCAAATGGTGTAAATATTAGATTTTTCAGTTCAAATCATAAGGTAGGACTGCATACTAATGCGGATGGTAAGTGTGGACTGCAATTTGAGAAGTGAGAAACAAATTGACAATGCCATGGTACAAATTACACAATACCCAAGACATACATGTAGGAATACATTTCCCATACACTTATACCTATACCTAAGCATTTAATGTGGATGGTAAATGTTGACTATTATATACTAACTAGTAGTTGCACACGTGCGATGCACGGCCATATGTATATTTTAGGGAATATACAGTATGTACTAAAGCTTAAGAAATGTAAAAAATAAAAAATCCCCACCAAATTGAAAATTGATTAAACATTGTTGAAGACTTCTTTGTACACAACATTTGTTGTCTTACTAAGACATGTTACATCTTCTCCGCAAATCAAAACTTTTAAACCCGCAGGGTTACTGACTCTTGAAACAACTACGTACATTTGGCCATGGTTAAAGACTGGTCTTTTTAAATACAATCCCACTCTTGAGAGCGTTTGTCCTTGACTTTTATTTATTGTCATGGCATAGGATAGCATCAAAGAAAATTGCTTTCGTTGGAATTTGAAAGGCAATCTTGGATCTGACAGTGTTAGTGACATCCTTGGAATCAAAACTGTAGTACCTGCATTTGTACCCCCCATTATTTTTGCCTCCAACACATGATCAGCTAACCTTGTTACAATCAATCTTGTACCATTGCACAAGCCAAGAGTGTGATCAATATTTCTCAAGAGCATAACAGGTGACCCAATTTTCAAAGTCAATGCATGATTAGGTACACCAGAACATCGCAGACCATTTAAGAATTCTGGAGTGTGCAATTCCGCTAACATATCTGCATTAGAATCTGACTTGCACACTGAATCACAACTCAAATAAGTCCTAGCTTCACTTGGATTTTGATCATTCATGTACTGGTTAATGATATCTACCATATCCAATGTTGGTGCCAATATGGCACTATCCTCAAGGTATGATAAATCACCATTAGCGCTTCTAAACAACGAGAAAATGCTATCAACAATTGTAGAGATAGTATCACCTTCACATTTAAGTAGAAACTTATCTGGAATTGTTAACTCTGCGTCACCATCCGTTGAATTTCCAATTTTCCCGTCACCTATATCTGCTATCCAGTTTGCAAACTCCTCAATCTCTTTGGCCTCTAGTTGCGATTTTACACGTCTTAGGCGTAGATTTTTTTGTTAGCCCAAATACTTTGCATGATCTCCAAAGGTATGATGAATTTATGCTCGATCCAACAATATCTTGCCTTGTGCCCTTTGGAATAACCGGAAGAATTTGTCTAAAATCGCCACCCAAAACAACTGTTTTACCACCAAATGTCATTTCACAACTTCTTGGATTTGTGGAGTGCAATAAATCACGCATAGTTCGGTCTAGGGCTTCAAAGCAGAACTTGTGCATCATTGGAGCTTCATCCCATATTATCAACTTGTTTTGCATAATAAGCTCAGCCAACGGGGTGCCTTGTTTTATGTTGCAAGTGGAATCTTCATTAACAGATATAGGTATTGCGAACCTAGAATGTGTTGTACGACCACCTGGTAGCAGAAGAGAAGCTATGCCGCTAGATGCAACATTTAGAACAATTTCACCTTTCCGTCTTAAAGCGGATGAAAGTGCTCTCCACAAGAAGGTCTTACTAGTACCACCATATCCATAAACGAAGAAAAATCCACCAGATTTGCTTTCAATATCTGTTAACACCTCCTCGTATATTACCTTTTTCTCATCTGTCAGTTGACTAACCAAATCGTTATTCTCTTTCTCCTGAGTAACACGATCATATGCCAATTCTTCTTGTATCAACCTATTTGATATTAAATTATATGTCTCCAAATCTGCAACTGACATTTCTGGAAAGTCCTTAAGACTCTTTCCCATTATTGATAACAATTTTTCAATCTCAACCAACGCAAAATTCATCTTCTGATTGTCATTCAACACAGAATCTGCAGTGATTTTAATCATACAGTGAAAACAAAACCAATGGATTTTGCTTGAGTACGTTGTCCTAAAAACAACTAAAAATAAAGTTCAAAAGATATAACCAGAATAGCTTGTGTACCTGAATTTTGCAATTGTTTCCGAACTTGATATTGTGCATCTTCAGACAAATGTTGCCACACAGCATTCCAAACAGCTTCAGGTTTACCTATACAGCTGGTCATTAACAGTGTAACAAATAACCTCCTCAACTTATCTCCAGAAGCCCAATGACTTGCTTCCTCTATTGCGTCGATATATTCTTTGTCATCATCAACTAAGCCTCTAGCATAACACGTATCGCGGAATGAATCATATTGAACACCATTCACAACCTTTATATCAGAAAAAGATGTAGGACCACGAACTTTATTCAACAAACATCTTAAATAAAAAATTTCACCAGTGCCAGGTGGGACGTAAAAAATCCTTCCAATTGCGAATCCTTTTTTCCTTGGCTGCCATTTTCGTAGTTGTTTCTTCCACACAAATTTCGTTGGCATCTCAGCATAAGTCATCTTTCTTGCCTCTGGAAATGTCTTGTTAGCCTCAAACCATTCCAAGAACATGCTTTGTCCTATAGTTGGTCTATTGACAATGTTGTCAACTGGATCGTCATCTGCAAAAATCACACTTTGTTGATTGGGTAAGTGAAAGCTTAACCTTTCCACTGATGGAGCCCTAAGCTGTATATCAAAGCCAAACAACCGCCATACAGCCTCGCAGGGAGAAATGTACATACAGTCATAGTACATATTAATCTCATCTACAGATTTTCCAACATCTGAATCATTGCTTGTTTTGTAGAACTCGGCTGTTACCCGGTCGTGTCCCTTATTAACATATTTGAAAAGGTACTTGATTGAACGGGACTGGTTGCACCACTCAACATTTATATGAGCCTTGTATTTAAGCAATAAATGTCTGTTGTGCGGTACAACATACCTGTTGTCCAAGGCAATGCCATTCTTTGTTATTGTCCTACCATTTTCTCGACGTCTATATAAGGGATACCCATCATCATCAAAAGTAGTACATTCCAAAAAATTTTTGGGAAAATGTTTGGAACATCTTCCTTTCACCATACACGGAGAATTCAGTCTAGCTTTTCCGCATGGCCCATGCATCATAAATTCCTAAACAGCTTTGTAGTATTCTACATCCATATTTTGATCAGGTATCTCAGTTGATATTATTTTGTCTAAAGCCCCAAGTTGACTAACTTCATTTCTTTTGTCCAAGAAGAGCAATATATGCGCATGAGGGAGGTCTCTTTTTTGGAACTCAATGGTATATATAACTGTGAAGTAAATAATGAATATATTTTAGGAAAAACAATCTTAACAGGATGATATAGTAAAAAAAAAATTGTACAGGGGTTTACCTCCAGCAACCGATCCAAACAGTTGCTTCTTTATACAATCGGCTATCAAGGAATCGAGCTTCATCTTGAATAACCTGCAAATTATGTCAGGACGGTCTTCAGCTTTCAAACAACGGTCGTTAAGGAAACGTTGCACCTCAGGCCACTTTGGGTTGCAGGTAAAAGTTATAAATAAATCCGGATATCCAATCCATCTACAAATAGCCATCGCATCGTGGTAGTTCTGTATCATGTACCTTGCTCCGCCAGTGAAACTCGATGGTAAAATTATCCTACGGCCCTGAGTTGCTGCATTTATTTCACCCCGAGTTAAAGCATCTGTCAACCCACTATATGATTCACAACGTAAGCTTTTTTGGTGTGTCCTTATATAGATGAGTCTTCCTGACTCAACCATTGTATATCCGTCAACAACAAATTGTTGGAATAACCTCTTCGCATGTAGTATTGTACTGACAACCTCTTTTCTTGATTGTAAGCGATAACAAAAAAATTCCCTTGGACTAATCCTTTGTCTTCCGCCAGCACCACAGTTGCCCTTTATGTTAGAGAAGGCAATGTCTTCCCTATAACCATCTTCCCCATATGGAAACAACAATGGGTATTGAAGTGGCAAGTATGAAGGGTTTAATTCACTTATTCTTTGTAGCTGGCCGCCCTTAGTTTGAACGACAATGTCACGCTCACCTATACTGGTATCAAGATCTCTAACTATTAATGCAGCTACTTCAGACACTTCAGGTAAATTATATGTCCTAGCATCTTTCTTGCGCTTGCCTAGCAATTTTATCTTGACTTCAGTGCAGGGATTTCTATCCATTTCTGACTTAGCCATACGAAATGACTTAACCAAGACATTATTTTGATCCAACTCACCTTGAATGACATTCACTATGTCTATATGAATGTCATCTTGATTACAACCCTCCCTGCATAAATTAATAAATCGTGTTCCTACTTTATATAATTGGTTTAGACTAAATGATCATAACATAAGTAAGCGAAGATTAGGTTTACCTCACAGCATTTATACGGATTATTTGCTCATTGTTTGTGTCGTATATGTATAGTTGGGCAAAATGTGGTGGCTTACCTTCGTGTGGGAGTAAACTTCCCATTAAATGATAGTTCTGCCCATTTAATCGGAATACAGGGGGGCCGCCTCCCTTGTTCACCGTCCTGTCAACCCTACCTCCCATTGATGTGAAGCAAAACATGTTGTTGTATGTCCTGATGTTTTGTAAGAATTTCCTAGATAGTTCACATTTGCCGAAAAAAAGATCGCTGATACCTTTAGGTGGCAAGGGTAACGTGGGCAACTTAATTTTACCACTGTTGCAACACATGGAAAATCGCGGTGATCCCTTAGTCACGGTTTTGTTCTGTCTCTCCTCAAACCAAAATAACGCACCGCAATGGTCACAAGTATTTGTAGCGTCTCCAAAATCACAGTATTCAACTGCATTAAAAGGTAATATTATGATGCGGTATTAATATTTCACAACAGCTATTAATAGTATATTGTGCAACGTACCATCAGAAACCGCATGTGTGGTAGCAATATTGTTGTTCTTTGGTATTTCGTCAACATTTTTAACCAAACTTGTAGCAGTAAGGCTGGCTTCTGTAGGCAAGGGAATATTTTGTACTTGAAATTTAGAAAATTTTTCAATTTTCCAATAATATATATAATAGATTAGAATAAAGTAGTAAAGGGTTTCTCAAAAAGGTTAACAAAATTAAATAAAAGTAGTAAAGTATCCCTATATTTAACAAAAGAAAGCATTTCTATATTAATATAGAAATTAAGGAAATACCGGTTGAACAAATATCTGCTGTTGTAATCGGTGCAGGAATAGATTCTTCTTCGAATGCTAATAGCAAGTCCCTATTTATCTCCTGTGGAGGTTTAATAGTACAACAATTATTACCGTCTAGGATTTTGGTGCATCCACTATTAACATTCGATATGTTCTTGAACGGTTGTCGCCTTGGTACTTTATGTTGTGTGTCACAACCTATTGTCAAAGTTCATAGCAAATGAGCTATAGTATCAACGTAAAAAATTAAAACGTACATTTAGGATTTTATAGAAAGTTACCAGTTAATATAGATGTTGGTACGGAGGATATTGACTCTTGTAAGTGTCCCAAAATGAAAACCTTTGATTTGTTTGAGCCGATTTTTTGTGTTATGTTACGCCCACTTAAGTGTATATTGCAAGTACCTTTGTCACAAATAGATAAATATTTTAGTTAAACACAATATCGAAATAGACAAATAGATTCAATAATTAAATAACAACCATGTATAAAAAAAATTATATACAATATCGAAATACACAAATAGATTAAATAATTAAATAACAACCATATATAAAAAAATAATATATGGATATTTGAAATATATGTAAATGTACATCGCTAGAATATGTAATAGTTTTACCGTTTGTTATAGTACTCATTGGTGTAATATTTTGAGTAGAACAACATCCATATGAAAGTCTTATGGGGATACTTGAATCGTTTTCGTCTCCAACGGGAGGCTTTTCCTTTGTTGGTGAAATTTCTTCAAAATTCTCTGCGATATAGGTAAGTAAAGTTAAGTAATTAGACCAACATTACACACTATAAATGTCCAAGTATAATTATCAATGAAAAGTTAATAACATAACTATGATGAATTATTTATGTACCAAGGTCCACCATATGGTGTGCACCCTAAATAGAAACTATATTGTTATGTAACGTGTTGTTTCCCTATAAGTACGAAAATTGATAAATTATCAAGATGATTTAGAATTATTTATTAGACTCTTATATTAGTACATTCCATTACAACACAATTTCTAATATTTCGTCTTAAAAATCTAATTTATAAAGATGTACGTTCAATTTAAAAGTAATATTGAATAAGACAAAAAATAGAGTTCTATGAATACTTTCAAAAACGTATCTAATATACATGGAAGCTTAGAATTGTGTATTATGTGTCAAATAATACTTGACGACATAAGTATTCTATGATATCCTATTTATCCATTACACGACAATTAATTCATTAAATCATTGTACTAAACATACTAATAAGTTGTAAAAATAAGGCCCAAGCTAAGTAAAAATGCAATACTTACCCAATAGACTTAAACTAACCAGTCCCATTAACCCGACCCACCAAACCTGTCCTAAACCCGACCCGCAAACCCGGAATATAAATGCGGAGTCCAGCCTTCACTTCTACCCTACCCGACCTTTCGCATTCCTTCCGCCTCTCTCGCCATCGTCACAGACCATCGCATTCCGTAGTTCTCTCTACCTTTCCTCCTTACATCTCTCACTCTGTCCGAAAGCTTGGTAGCAAGCATGTCGTTGACAGTCTCTATGGTGTTTGCGTGAACTCTTTCGCTTGTAGCTCGATGGAGTACAAACCCTAACTGTAAACTATACACCTGAAATCTTCAGTTTGTTTCCTTCGCTTTAGTTGCGTGACTGTCCTTTCTCTTTCGAATTTCAATTCTGGAAATTACCGATTTGATACTAAAATCAGGCGATACCATAGTTTTATCCTATTCTTCGATCTAGGGTTTTGTTCTATCCTAACCCTAACATGTGTTCGAGACATCAATTGCTCGGCGTGGATGAGTCCGACATGATCGTCCTTGACCAGAAGTCCAGAAACAACATATAAGCTAAGTATATCTAAGATTTCTCATCATTTGTCTACTTTTCGATTTCAGTTTGCGGATTTGAAATGATTCAATTGAATTGCTGTGAGACATGATTTCTGTCCGTAATTAATAGCTGAAATTATATAGCTAGCTGCATTTAGCCTCTGTTTTAGAAGTCACATTTCACGAATTTATGACCTTCTTTAATTGTTAGATTTAGTTTACTAATATTTGTAAAACAATTGTTCTTATTATTGAATCTATTAAATGTGTTTTGCAGGGACAGAGTCTGGGATGCACCATTTGAAATAGGATACAGTAAAAAATCCAAGTTATTGACAGTAATGGTAGCAAAAGTCAAGTAAGATTAGAAATTTTGTGTACCTTTTTGTTGTATTGAATGCTTCCTCTTTGTGCCTATGATTGTAGAAGTTGTAATTTGCCTCATTGCTCTGAAAATGGTTAAATTTCCAATATGATATGCTGTGTTTGATAAACATGAATTATGAACTGTGTGAATTATAACTATCTTATTTGATGTTGAGTAATTATGGTATGACTCTTCAGTTTTTCTTGAAATTGGCATTTGGTGTGTGCCACTTTTAGTACTAATTAAATACATGTATTCCTGATATTGTCTGATTTAAATTTTTTCAAATGAGATGACTAAATTATTTGTTCCCAGATTCTGGCAAATGATGACTCAAAATTCTGATGCCATTGTTTTGATTAACAATTCATCCTCTCTAATTAGCGTACGTGTGAGGTGTTGTACTTAATCTGGTCCTTAAAAAAGTGGATTCCAAACTTTTCCTAAACTTAGATTTTCTTTTTTCAGATTACTGCCTTGTATACATTTTCTAATATGGCAAATGATGAAATATTATTCTGATGCCAAAATGCATTTTAACCTCTGTTTGTTGTGTCCTATCTTTTTGCAGCACACATTAACCCCATAGACACTATATAAGTGTCTATTTTTTTCAGCTCTTTTCAAAGCTGTATAGTATATTTTTAGTCTAGGATTAGTCAACTCATCTGTATATGTAGCTTTTCAAATAATTGATACAGGGTTTCAAGATATAATACTTCATTGCAAAGAATCGAGTCATTTATTTGTTTCAAATTCGATTTCTTTCAAATTCACAAAAATCATTTTTAAACAGTACATATACAATGTGGATATAACTTGAGAAACCCCTGTCGTTCATTCATTGACCTCCTTACAGTTCAATATTTCTGAAAAAGAAAAAAATTAGTTTATATACTACAGTGATATATAAAACCAAGTACGCGAGTACTTTAAGAACCCAAGTTTTTCATAGTATACTATATAATGAGTCCTTTGTACAGCTCCAATTGAACGAAACCATGAAGGTGATTTTTATTTTTATTTTAGATTAAGTTACAATCTAGAACATCGAGAATGTATAATAATACGTATCTCTTTCATACAAAAACAGAACTTTTAAAACAAAACCACACAGGCAATTGTGGTTTTACTTCCATTTCAACTAAAGGATGATAGTATAGATAAATGTGACTTTTAAAAAAAAACTGTTTGACCGGCATAAATTTGTGGAATTAATTTGTTAGTTGTTTAAGTATCATTACAGAAAGTCGTATTGTATTATGGAAAGATAATTTCATAATAAATAATCACTTTTTTTAACAATAAAGTATAAAGTTTAGGGTATACTTATCGATCTAAGTCTATAATGTGTATAAGTTTCAACTACAAAAAATAATTTTTTTGAGAATCAAGTAGACGGAAAACTGTTTTTAGTTCACTTTCTGGCCTACTGTTATGAGATTTTAGACATTTGATGCATTTTAATTAAATGAGTTTTAATCTTTTCTAAGTAGTTGTGTTAATTTGGTGTTTGTTTAAGTATCATGCAAGATACTCTAAGTGTATTATAGTATGTCTTAAGCAATACATAATTTTTTTACCAACAAAGTCCACAGTTTTTGATGGATTTAAAATCAAACTGTTTTATTTTTTTTCTAAGTTGTGGTGTTAATTATCATTAGATTTTAGATAGAAAAACTGTTTGTATGAACCTTTATGGTCTACTATAATGAGATTTTAGATATTTGATGCAATTTGTTAATCTGTTTTATTTTTTTTATAAGTTGTGGTGTGAACTCTTTGTTTGCTTAAGTATCATGAAACATAAACTAAGTTCCCTTATAACCAAATTATAATATTTTTTGGGATTTGATGCATTATTTTTAACAAAATCAGGTCTAAAGACTTTGAATTGTCTATACTGTGGAAAGTAAAATTCTTAGCAATATAGTATTTGGTGTTTGTCCTATGAAATAAAATAGGACAAAATGAACTTACAATAGTATCCTTAAGTAATTATGTAATATAATTAGGAGAAATTAAAACATACACAAAACAATAATAAACACCGAAATAGCCCAGATTAATTATCATTTAAAAAAAAAACAGAGTCAACAAAATGTTTAGTGCAATGCATAAATAAAAAACAAATCAAAACATCTAAGAGGCTTAAAGTATTGTTCATAACTGAATTGAAACAATTCAGTTCATCTTCTCCTTCTTAATGCTACCACCCTTTAACCTTTTGCTCCCTTTTGAGGATGAAAACTGATCCAGCAATGACCTCTTAGTAGTAGGAGAATCTGCTTCAACATGAACTTGGGATTCTGAGTGCCTTGTGTTAGCAGGACTATTGACATCTTCTTCTTTAGATGCTTCTTGCAAACAAAAAGTAGAACCAACAATTAGAAATTACTTAACGTATTTAAGTAAAAGATAGGGTTTAGTTCAACTGTATACTCACCTCAGAATGTTGAGAAGTGTTGTCATCCTCTTCTATTTGCTGTGACATTAGGTCCTTTTCTTCATCTTCAAATAATCTGGAACAATAAGCATCTAACAACTGCTCGTCCCTCAGAACCCTCACCACATTGTAAGCTGGATTAGTGCCTTTCATTAGAGCTCTCTTAATCACCACGCACTTTAAAAATCATTTTTAAACCAATCACCACCTCAATCTCAGTGGGGATGTCAACATCGGCCTGATAAGTAATACGATTAGTAAAAAAAAAAAAAAATTAAAAGGCTTATACAATTGGTAGAAGCAAAAAAAGTACCTTTTTGTACTTCTCATACAACAGAGTAGCAGGAATGCCAACTAATTCTGCAACTTCCCTATCCCAGAGCAGGAAAGTTGCATCTGTGGTTTTGTCTAAGACTCTCACCAAAAGCTTATATCTAGCAGTACCTTCCTCAAATTGTTTTACACACTTGTCACAGCTTAAGACTCCTTCAATTGCTTTAAGCTTCCTGTTACAGCCAGGTGTCAGGCATGCCATGTAGTACCAATCGTCTGTAGAAGACTCTATTGCCATAATTTCACCAGGAATATAGTAATCCCCATCCTGAAAACATAGTTACAAAAATTATGTTTAACACCACAAAATAGATTTGTAAGAAAGCTTGTTAATATGTAATTAACAACCTGCAGCTTAGATAGATCAAAGATTGTGGACACAATCCTTTCACCCTTTTGGAAACTCTCAGTCCCTGTGGACTGGGAGTTCAGAGTCACAGTGCTCATACTCTTAATTGGAGTCTCTTGAACCTTTAACCTGCACAAAACAATCAGAAGTGGACTGAGTAAATGACACTCATTTAGACCTCATAAATGGCAGGAAGTTTATGCATTACATAGACTTACTGAGATTTGAAGTCCTTGAACTCATCAAAATCACCATTCACCCAGATCTTAGTTGCATCATACGATGATGTTATTCTGACCTCACCTAAAAAAACACATAGAAAAAACATAGCATTGGAGTCTATTGCATAAATTAGAGGAGGACAGTATAAGGTTCAAACACTCACCACTAACCACCTTGGCCCTACAACATTGAATAACTACAATCACTGGTTCATTTGAAATTGAATTGTAGTAGGGCAGTAGAGACTCAACATGAGAATCCCACAAGGTACACATCATGTAGTTATCACTGTTTTTGGTAGGTAGAAAATGAAAATAATTAAATATAATAATCAGAAAAAGAAACTTATAAAGTGGAATCAATAAAGAAAGTGTAAAACTAAAGGAAATACGCAATATGAAAGTCAATCTAGATCAACAATAAAATCTGAAAGGAAATATGCAGTCTTGTAATGGAACAAATAAACTAAAAATATAAAATTTACGCATTATCACAGAGTTGAAAGTCAATCAGTTTTGTGGCTTTACCACCAACAATCTTGTCCACAGGGCTATATATCTCCACCACACGACCTATAACATCTGAAACATATTTAAAGAATACAAGCAGTCATATAAGCAGTCATTATATGCCTAAGTAGTTGTATTAGTAATAGTACAATTAGGGTTTTACCAATGAGCTCCTTGTCATTCACTTCCTTGGGATCTTTCAAAGACTCAAAACTTGTAAGACGAAACATAAAAAGTGGAAAACCTATAGAGTTGATCTGTTTGACTTCTGTTTTGTAATTAAACTTGAGCATATACTTATGCTGGGTGACCTTGTAAAGGTAATAGTTTGTAACAGCATAGAAGTTCTTTATCTCATACAGTTGGCCTTCTTTTAGCACATCTTTGTATTTGACAACATCTTTATCCTGAATATTAGCATGTATATAGTCTCCCTGTACAGAAATGTAAATACAGTGTGCATAAAATATGGGCAGTAAGTGATATAGAAATTTTGATGGAATCATGCTTCTGTTTTACAAAAATATTGCTGAGTTACAGTGAACATGTAAACATGTTTCTGTTTGCAAATGTAGTTAGTAAACAACTATAGAAGCTATACATGTACAGGAATGCTATATATATAAAAACCTGCTTCTTTTTGCAAATTTAGTCACTAAAATTGTAAACATGTAGATTCTTTCTGTTATTCAGTGAATGTGTAAACATGTATATACTTTAAGATGAATTAAATAAAAATGTAATAGAAGTGTACCTGATCATCATGCTTCTGTTTGCAAATGTAGTTAGTAAACAACTATAGAAGCTATACATGTACAGGAATGCTATATATATAGAAACTTGCTTCTTTTTGCAAATTTAGTCACTAAAATTGTAAACATGTATATTCTTTCTATTATTCAGTGACTGTCTAAACATGTATATACTTTAAGATGAATTAAATAAAAATGTAATAGAAGTGTACCTGATCATCATGGAGAAGACACTCCATACTCTTGACGTTACTGCCTACCCTCCTCTCAGGCACATCATAGATGCGTACACAACGTACTCTAATTCCCCTTTGCTTGTGGACAGGATGGATATCTTTGATAGCAATGAACAGGGAAGGCATTGTATTACTATTTCGAAGATGGAGAATAGTGATGGGCAGGGTTTAGGGTTGAATCAAATGGACATCAACATCTGGATGTAGCCTTTTATAGGCAACAATCAGATTTTGAATTACAACTTTCGAAGAGTTTTCATGATGATCAAGCCTTGGAACACCAACATGGTATTAAATGTTGGTGTTGATTTAAATTTAAATTCTATAATCTCGAGTTATGTAAATAATTTCCGTCTTTATTATATGATATTGTTTGTAGTAGATGTGTAAATATATATAGACATTTCAGTAGTGGTCTACTTTTAAAAGTAAAAACCATTCGACTTCTCAGATAGTTTCTGCATTGGTAAGATAAAAGTAGTATTTAAGATATTATTTGGAATGTGAACATTTATAAATGCAGCATTAAATAGCCGAATTTTGGACTGACAGCACAACAAACGACATCGTATACATCAGGCGCTAAAATGCAATAGACAATAACATAGGGGTAAAACGACGGCGTATTCATTTGGGCGGGATAATTTTTTAGGCCAGAAGTTGTTGCTTTATTATAGAGTTAGATGTTTGATTGAGACTTCTTATTAGCATGTGTACTACTTGGTATCTCTATATATACTTCATTTAAGAATGCAACATGTACACTATATATTCATTCCAAAAGAGAACTTCTACAAGTTTTTAGCTAACAATTACAACAATGAAAAAATTGACTAGCTCAACTATCATTCGTGGAAAAAGAAAGCTTGATGTTGAAGATAAAGGTAAAAAGGAAACATTCCTGTTGTTCTTCATTAAAATTGTAACAAATGCTAACTTAATTTTTTTTTTCAATAGTCATCTTCTTTGCTTTCCATTTGTGTACTATATCTGCACCAATTTGGCTCCCTTTTATCTATTTTTTGGCCTGTGTATTGAGAGAGTGTAAATGCAGCACTCTCATGTACACCTGCAAATGAATAGTATACATATTATAATTTTTTAAATTTATTAGGTTGGCAAGTAATGACATAATACCCAGAAAATTGCATGAACAAAAAAAAAAGTTGTAAATTCTAACAAAGTCTCCACTACTAGAAGCTCTATCACACATTTAGACCACACTCAAATATTTTTGAATTCAAATTCTTTTATTTGCTTAATCATAAAAATAAAAAAATAAAAAATAAAAAATACGTGTGGGTACAACACAAATTTATTTTCCTAAAAAAAAAATTAAAAAAAATAGATACAGATGTATAGTTTTGAGGTAAGAGACTACTGATCTTTATCGTATTAGTGTTTGGGCCTTTAAATCCAAGTTTATGAACTACAAAATCTGTATGCATGTATATCTACCGTGCTTATTTGTGCTTTTTCGTTTGATGCTGGTCAGATGTAGATAGATCTGTAAACAAAGAATTAGGGTTTAGGATTAACGAATTTAAATGAAATTTTTTCTTGATATGTAATTAAAACGTACCGTGAGAAAGAATCTTTATCTATATCCATGAAAGACGATGCTCCTTAATCAACACAGTCTAGGATTCAGACTGTACGGAATATTTAGAAGATGTTTTGGGATGGTGAAGCGAGGGAATTAGAAGAAGCTAGGTAGTCTTGGCGTTAAGGAGGAGATTGAAAGAGATGTTCAGACAAAGGAGGGCATGCATCTGGTAGATTTTGCGTTTGATTTTTGTTTATATATATGGGCTGAAATGGATTTGGGTTGGGGTTTGCTTTGGGCTTCTGAGTTGGGTCAAATAAACAAAAAATTATATATTAAATACATGTATATTTTGGGCTATTAAAGTAAGTAAATTATATTATATTTTAAATATTATGATTTGTTATCTTTTTTTTTTTTTTTTTTTTTGGTTAGAATGAACATGTAAACAAATTATCTTTCTAATGCTATGATTTTTTATCATTTATTTACAGCTTGGAATGAAAATGTTAAGTAAGATTTTTTTAAAATTTATTTTAGTTAGTAAATTAATTTATGTTCAGTTGATGTAGAAAATATTCATGATCAAGTTGTGAAGACTGTGATTTGAATGGATCTAATTTGTGGTGGGAATCATTTGTATTTTTTAGTGTTTTACAGTTAGTTTGGATTATGAAAAATAGTTTTTTTTTTTTGTTAGATTTGAAATTTATAAATATATTTCATTTGTATGGAAGTATTCTTTAGTGTTTGTATACATTTCATATATAATTTTTTGTGCAAAGTACTGAATTGTATGAATATAAAAATGCATGCTTTGTATTAAAAAAAATACCTATATACAAAATTATTCAGTCTACTATTTAAATATGCTATCTTTTTTTTTTTCTTGAGAATTAATTTTAATTCAGTTTGTTTCTTTACAAATTCAGAAAATGTTCGACCTGATTGTATTGAGATTAGGTCCCATTTGATTTCAAATGTTGCTCAAAGTTCGGATATTATCAATTGTTTTTTTTTTTTAAAGGATATTATCAATTGTTATTTTACTATTAATATGAAATAATGGCCACAATGAAAATGAGCATTTGTTTCTTTATATTATTCTACTATTGTCGTTTTTTTAATATTATATAATGTGTTTTTATTTGTAGTTTACGTGTTCATGTTTTTTTTTTTTTTTTTTTTTTTTTTTTTTTTTTTTTGTAATTTTTAGGTGATCAGCCCAAGTTTAACATGCCATTTACGGGTATTGGACCTTAGGTTCACATCTCAACAATTAGATTCCATGTTATAAATTATTAAATTATATTTAATTATTTTCACTTCTTTTTTTTGGCAATGAATTATCTTTGGCTTTTATTGTAATGGCATATTATGATGTAGGAGATCTTATTTTTAATTGTCACCATTGTAGTGCGTTGTTTTGGGTGGATGAAAAATTAAAAAATCTGAAAGTAAATGGTGGACCAAGATAATATGGATCATTTTTATACATATCTAAAAACATAATAAGTTCCAGTCAAGGTTATACCCCTGGTTTATGTCCATTTTTTCTGTTAATTTTTTTTGTACCTTATGCTATAAAAGTTGTACTACATAATTTTTTGGACAAAAATATCCTTGCCGTTATAACTTCTGTTATCTTTCCACATTATTATTAGAGTAAATACCCAAAATAATGGTCCCTCGACTATAGCTAAATTCACAAATTGGTCATCGACTTTCAATTTCAACCAATTAAGTTCTTAACTTTGCAATTTTGACACGATTTGGTCTTCTATCTATTTGACCGTTTGTTGACGGCGATCTTTGAGGATATATATGTAGTTTCACGTGCAAATCTCAAGAGAACGCTCTTGGAGGTGACATCGTTGTTTCGGAGGGGGAAGTGCTTCTCCGCTTGCTGCTTGAGGATCACGAGCCGGTTCAACTTAGAGAACGCTCTTGGAGGTGACAGCGCCGTTTCGGAGGGGGGAAGTGCTTCTCCGCTTGCTGCTTGGGGATCCCGAGCCGGTTCAGCTTGCCTACATCGCTTGGAGTCACGGCTTTCTCGAAGAGCCACTCCAGGAACTTCGGCCATCTATCTATCAAAAGCTATAATCGCTCCAACATGGGGTGCAGCGCCGGCAGTGGATTCAAATGTAACAGTGTTGCGGTCTAGAAATGCAACTAGAACCTTAAAAAATCGACGATGGACCATAAAATTACATATATATCCTAAAAAACGCAGTCAACAAACGGTCAAATAGACAAATGACCAAATTGTGTTAAAATTGCAAAGTTAAGGACTTAATTGGTTGAAATTAAAAATTGAGGACCAATTTGTGAATTTAGCTATAGTCGATGGACCATTTTGGGTATCTACTCTTATTATTACCATGTACATGCATACACAATATTTTTCTTACATCCTTCAATGGTAAGTTTGAATTCATTTAGGTTTTAATTAAAATGTTACCATAGTTATATTTAGTAATTTATCATTTCTATAATTCTTAATTACCTCAAAAATATTAATATGAATTATACAATAATATATATATATATATATATATACACACACGCACACACTATTATTAAAAAAAAATTAATATAACTAATATTTTAATATTTAATTTTAATATTGGGCATATATTTTTTGCGCATCGCGCATATAAAATACTAGTACAATCATATACACATTAAAAATTAACATACAATTCTTTTCCAATAGCGTGCTTCACCAGGATAAGTCTTCAACAATAGTCGATATTAATGAGGGTTAGCCTTCATTTTGGATTGGGTTTAGAAGACCATGAAATTTTTAGCATCCAAAAGGTTGCATAAAAGTTATATATGCATGAGGTTTTTTTTTTTTTTTTTTTTAAAAAAAAAAATTATTTATTTGTACATGCAAGGTTGTAGAATAGTCCTTCTCATCTACTCACATACTTGTAATAGTTAGAATTGTAAACATACACGATGATTAGACTTCATTCATCTTATGATTTTTTAATGATTCATTCATAGTATACTCAAGCTTCAACTTCAAATCATATATATATATATATATATATATATATATATATATATATATATATATATATATATATATATATAAACTTTGTCCGTGCAACACACGGGTGGTGGTGGTGGTGATCAAGGGTATTTTTTATTTTTCCACCATCACTGAATTGTATTCATGGGTGCCCATGAATTACAATTCAACAAAATAAAGGAATTGCAATTCCCTCCAACTAAACACTGTAATTTGCTTTGTCATAAAATAAAGAAGGAAACAAGTTCCAACTACATCCAACCAAACACCCCATCAGTATTACTTAATGTAGTGCAACTATGTAGGCAATTTAATAATTTATATGAGGAAGTGTACGTGGTTGAAGACTTCGAACTTTGAAGTGTTGAAGATAATATGGACGTTTTTACTGAGAACTTGTTAGAACACTGAAGTGTTGAACAATTTTTTTTAAACGATTATGGAACCGGAATCATCTAATTCCGAACCATTAAGAGTATCTAAATTGGAACCAAAACCATTTGGGTTTCGGTTCTTAACCGGAACTAACTGTATAGTTTCGGTTTTAATAGTGAATGGTTCTGTTCAAACCGTTCGTGATAATGCTTTGACTTGTAGTCTTAGCCTAATACCAAATTTGGTACAAAATATAGTTTTTAGAGGATTAAATGTGCCAAAAAATGTAAAATAAGATATAAATCTAGTCAATTTTGAAGTAAAAATCTCAATAGCTAAGGAACAGAAACATAAATTAACCCTCTTAATGTAAAAATACCGATATAAATAAAGTAATATTGTATTGACTATACGGGAATAGAACAATAGTTTACTTAAGAGCAAATTACACTTTTGGTCCTGTGACTATTGGGGGTGTGTTAATTTAGGTACGTGACTTTTAAAACTAACAATTTAGTCCTTTAACTATCAATTTTTTAGCAGATTTGGTCCTCCCGGCCAAATTGCCGGTGGAATTCGGCCGGAAAGATGTTCGAATTAATAAATCATATAATAGTGGGGGTAATTCTGTCTTTTTATCAGATTTGGTCCTCCTCTGTTCTTTTCGTTTCTTAGCAGCCCATTCCCAGTTTTCAGCATTACACAACTAGAACTCAAAGAACGCCTCTCCCTCTCCCGAACCCAAACCCAAAATCAAGAAGGGGTTGGTAAATTTTCCGCTTTTGAGAAAAATGAGCCTCAGAAATGGCTTCAAGGCCCGGCGATCTCTGTACCATTTATGGAAGGAATCCTCCGTCGTAGATTCGATCGGAGCGTCGAAGCTCCAGACTCATCATTGCCACCAGCAAGCTAAAGTGTATTCTCAGTTCCCTCAATCCATTTTCAAAAAGACCAAGGAGGTTGAGCTGTCGGTTCCCAGCATAATTTCTCTGTCGTTCTCCTCTCGGAGTAGCTCCTCCGCGGCCGCGGCCGCGGCGAAGGCTGGATTGGCCGGGTGGTACTTAGAATTGTTGAAGACGCGGCCTATTCTCATCAAGAACATAACCTGTACTGTTAAAAAGACGAAATTACCCCCACTATTATATGATTTATTAATTCGAACATCTTTCCGGCCGAATTCCACCGGCAATTTGGCCGGGAGGACCAAATCTGTTAAAAAATGATAGTTAAAGGACTAAATTGTTAGTTTTAAAAGTCACGTACCCAAATTAACACACCCCCAATAGTCACAGGATCAAAAGTGTAATTTGCTCGTTTACTTAATTAGTTTCTTTCCCACTGTTTGTATAGTTTAGTTTGAAGTTCTATTCTCTTGTGTGTACGTATCAAATAATGTGCTCGCATTTTGATCATAGTTGATAAAGGATTACAAAGATATAAACACTCTAGGTATAGTCCGCATTATGATCCTAGCTAACAAAAGAACATAATAAGATAAATCATATTAGGTTGAAGTATATGGTAATCTGTAATTAAGGATGACAATGTGTCGGGTGTGGGTCGAATAGGGCTACATCCATCACCCGACCCACCTCATATTTTCTCCACCCGTCCACACCTCCAACCTGCATCGGGTGGACATTTTCAAAATCCACCCCCAACCCACCGGGTGCGGGTGCCCACTACGGATACCCACCACTACTTATCATCTTATTACTTTTTTTTTTTCAAAAATTAATATTTAAATTACTTACACATAATAAAATATTAAAATTCATTAGTGATACTAAAACTTAAAATAATATAAATATTTAAATATAATAACTAAATTGTTAATTTTTAAAAAGAGTTATTTCTCAAAATGGTCCCTCGACTATCACTCATTCTCAATTTTACAATTCGACCTTCAATTACACCCAATGTGATCCCTTGACTTTTAAAAATTATCCCAAATTGGTCCCCGTTACATTTTATGTCAAACCGTCGTTAAGTTGGCGGTATTTTGGTCCATTCCACCCAATTTGACCATTTTGTTCATCAACGTCGTGAATCATAGAGCTTTGATTTTCAAGGAGGAAGCCGCGGCCAAGGATTCCCGAATCTCCGGCGCGCTCGACACGTGTAAGGCGGTGCTACGCCACTCCATTGATGATCTTACGAGGATGTACAACCGGCTGTATATTTGATTGTATATTTATTCTAACAACACCTCCATCCAACGCCAAACCTCGATCAGTAGAATGAATGGTTGGTAATGTATGTCCAACAGAAGTTTGCACATGAGAAACCAACACTTAGAGGCGGCAAGCCTTCGTGAACACGAGCAGAAATCAAACCCGGGACTCCGGCATTGGAAACCATCGGTAAAGGAGCTCGAAGAGGATTATGGGAGCTATGACCAGCCAAGTTCGCATGAACCGACCGATTAGCAACACCATGAGAGGACAAGCTCGCATTACCAGTACATGGAGTTCCAATCTGCCAGAAACTATCCCAGAATCTTGAGGAATAATGGACTTAACTTGCACCCTAGTCAGATGATGAACCTTGGCCAAGAGCAGTTTGAACCCGAGAGTACGGAGCCTTGGTTTTGCGACGTCTCCACCTGCCACAAGCCACCAATCCTGCCCAAAAGATGGGCGATCAACAAATTGGGCGATGGTGATCAGCATCCCTAACTCCAACGGTGGACTCCGATTGCCCATGCAAGGCCTCGATCGACGGGGGGGCGGTGGTCAACGAAATCGAAGTCACAACCAACCTCGCATCCAACGAAAATCGCCGATGATCTTCCGATTACATGAAGCCTCCAGAAAATCAGGACCAACCTCGCATTTACCCTTCCAGCCGAAAGGAACTGATGATAGCCCCTCGTCGGAGAAGTTGGGCCTCTTTGACCAGATTCTAGTGTCCAGAACCCCCACTATAAACATCATCGACATAATCAGAGTTTGGCCAGAGGCCAAAAGATTCCGCCAAGCCTAAAAACTAAGGCGTGTGAGTGGTGTGGAGCTGCCGAACTTTATCCAGAAGGACAGAGAACACGCCGAGAAAGCTCCATAGCTGAGATGCGGCGCGGCCATACGAGTACAAGAGCTCAGATGGGTGAATGGACGAAAATACCCCTAATATTAACGGTTGTTTCACAAACAGAGGATCAATTTGAGATAATTTTTAGGAAAAAACGGCGCTTTTGGCCCCTCAATTGTTTTACTTTTGAAAATTTGGCCCCTATCAATTGATTTGAACAAACTTAGTCCTTCAATTCTTCATAATGTACTACACTTAGTCCCTCATTTTATATAATTAAAAACTTTGATAATAATTTTTTTCATGGGGTTATATTTGTTAATTATTCTCCAGCTTCATTCTCTCTCCTCTTCACAATTTACGCCATCTTCATCTTCATCTTCATAGAGCTTTTTTCAGCACTTTCCCAGTATATGTAGCTTATTTGTTCATTTTTACAATTTATTTCTGCTTTTAAAAAAAAAAAAAAATTGTTTCTCTAAAATCTACAATCTTAGTATACTGCAATTTCATATGTTAAGCAACTCTCCAAAACTCAGAACAACAAAAATGCTTAAGCAACAATTATAAATGAGTTAAAAGCTATTGTGAGTCTAGCTTCTAGTATTCTTGAGCTTCTGAATTGGCTTTGGCAATTCTTGAGGATTCACAAGCCTGTGTATATTAGGAGATTTGCTCACCTTTTTCTCAAAGTTGTAAATGTACAACTGTGTTAGCATACTTCCTCACATCATCTTCCTTGAAGAGGTTGAAGAGCTTCCTAATATTTAGAGCCCTCTTTGGACCCTTAGCTTCATGCTTGGCTTCTCCATATATCAGTTATACCACTTTTTTTTTTTTTTCTTACAATGCCCAGATTCTTATAATCTTGAAGACATAGCCCTTGAACTGCTTGACCAAAGCATCTCCGTTGACCATTATTCCCCATAATCAATCCATTGAAAAAAAAAAAAAAAACAAAAACAAAATCTACGCCCATTATTCCCCTGCAAAATCCATAATTTTGAATACACGAAGGGAAAAAAAAAAAAAACCTCCATGATGTTTTTGTCTAAGAACGCAAGCACATATACTTGGCTGCTTTTGAAAGCATGTAGGTGTGTTGGACATCTTCCCAAAAGTCATTGAGAGTGGAGGAATTATTGATTTTGATTGTTTATGAGTTAGGGTTCTTTGCAAATCAAATGTTTGATGAAGATGACGGACATTTAAGAAGAGAGAGAATGAAGTTGGAGAGTAATTGACAAATATAACCATATGAAAAAAGAATTATTAACAAAGTTTATAATTATATAAAATCAGGGACTAAATGTGGTATATTATGGACAATTGCAGGACTAAGTTTGTTCAAATCAATTGACAGGGGCCAAATTTCAAAAAGTAAAACAATTGAGGGGCCAAAAATGTCATTTTTCCTAATTTTTAAAAGTCAAGAGACCACATTGGGTACAATAGAAAGTCAAAATGTAAAATTGAAAATATGCGATAGTCTAGGGACTATTTTGGAAAATAACTCTTTTTAAAAATAAACATAGTAGTTTAGATATAAAAAATAGTAAAAAGATACACGAAGTTATATAAATTTTTATAAATGACTACGCACTGGTACTTATTTTTAACCAAAAAAAAAAAAAAAAAAGATATTGGCATGAACTCTGAGGAAGGTAGTCAGCTTTCTCTATCCCAACTACCTGCTCGAATAGATTAAGAAGTTTCCGAGCTTTTTTCAGGAACACCAACAAGCCTCACAGCTGCCACATCCAAGGCAGCCCTTCCGGTCACAGCTACCTGTCCACTTCCATCATCATTGGCCGCATGTGACTGGTTCTGATTAAGACTTGAACCAAATACCGAAAAAGATAAATTTGTACTCAATCTGGCAAGGGTAGCCTTGAGGGAAGCTTCAAAGACAGATGATCTGCTGGTTAAACAATCAGCAACCGTGAGAATTTGCAATGCACCTTGTACAAATGACCATTCCTCCTCATTTGACATGAAGTCAACTTTGCGTGAGTTGGAAGCTCCTTCCCTCCTGTCAGATCCCATTTCTTTCTTTGAACCAACAGCATCAGCATCCAATCCACACACAGCTCTTAGTGATTTTAAATTATCCTGCAGAGTGGAAATGTACTGTAGCATAACATCATCCAGAGCAAGAATAAGCTCATCCGCCTCAGAACCACCAGTGAAATTAATGCATCTCTCTACAGCAGCTTCAAGAAGTAAAATGATTTGTGGGATACACTCTTTCATCCTTCAAACTGTTTCACTAAGTTCAACTCCCTGAACCCCAACAAGAGTGATGGCAGCTCCTCTGAGGTCAAGTCCTGCAATCTCAACAGAGAGAACGGCACGCTCCATTTGTCCATACCTAAGAACAGATCAAACAGGCACACAATGCAAGAACATTTAGTTCAGAAAGCCAATAAAGAATAATTGTATGATGTATATTTAAAGATCCTGTTTTGGCTATTTCACACCTAGCATGCTGAATCTATTGAAACAAACTTACAAATCCATCCAATTCCATTCCATGGTTAAGTACAACAACGATAGATGTAGCAATCACCAGATAAAATCTTAATCACAAGAGCCAAATTGGAAGCTGAGTTAATTAAAAGCAGATACATTCGAGCCTCCAAATTTCATGTTTACAACTAAGAGTTAATTAAAAGCACATATATTCTAATGACAACAACACTTCTGTCCAATGAAAAACTTTTTAAAGGATTAATTTCTCAAGACCAAGAACAAGTAGGGGCAAAAGAACTTCTTTACACCTTTTAATATGATGATAGATGATAGATTTAAAAGCTCCTCTGAGAAAAAAATAAAATAAAATAAAATTGTTGTCTAGAAAACTAGAAAAATCTTTAAAAGCAGGATGCCCAAAAGAATGCTTCAGCAAAACCATGTGCCATTATAAACTTCATATGTGCTCACCGTCGTTTAAATGATTCAAAAGGATGGTATATGGCTTTCAAAACATCCAACATAACTTGAAGGTCAGTGTCTGAGAATAGGTGTTGGATATTCCTAGCGAAACTCCCTGTTGTATTGTGAAGTTCAATTAAGGCATCCAGATGTTTGGTTTGGACCTTGACACCTTTTGACAAATCTCCAGTTGAGATGTCTATGATACCTGAATTTTTGACAGAATCTTAGCTATGATCATAGAAAATGCTTAGCAAAATATAGTACAAGTATGTTTGGATGCCATACGGATGATGAATTAGAGAGGACACATGCTCATCTATCATTTAATAAAGGTCATAATATTTATATAGGTTTCTATTTACAAATCCATACTTGCTCCACTACTCGCATTCCAAATCCTTGCTTACATAGCCAAATATCATTTACATGAAAACAAGAAAGAATATGCTAAAATTGGTGACTAGAAGAGCGTGATTTGTTTTAAACAAGAGGCTGAAAAATGATTTACATACACCATCAATCAAAGTAAACAACAGACAAATATTGACTTTTCCTTAAGAATTAAACAGCTCCATGAAAATGCATTTGTGCAATTTCCCTTTGTCTATGTGACACCTTGCTTTTTGAGATGTCCTCAAATGTTTGACACACTGACACAGTCACAACCAACTTTCTTCCAGGTCATCATGACATGAGCAACTCAAGTTCAAATTTAAAACAGAATTTTTTTATGATTTAAAAGCCTCCCAACTCTTAACCCATGTCTATCAAAATTTGTGACATATTTGGATGGAGGCAATAGAGTTAACTAGGACTACTACCTAAAATCTTCCCAAAGATGTTTTATAGGCTTGAGGTGGACCTTTGAGTATTGCAGTTCTAATGACTTGAATCTCCCAATTCTATTGAGATTACTCCTCATTTCTTGGGCAACATCAACCTAGAAACAAGGATTTCAATTTATGTCCCTTTTCTACAGTCTCCAAGGAGATATGTGGATTCAAATGACTGTGAATTGGAAATATTTTGCAAAAGGGAAGGGGAAAATATGAAATTAAAGTAACCTTCCGATTGCTTAATGCATCTGTCAAGCGAGGTTGCACCATCGAGTCTAGTCTATCTTCTAAAACTTCAAGTTGTTCCTTAATATTAGCAAATTCAGCAACCTGGAAATCTCTCTTGTTCAAATCACAAAATATAAACTCTTTTCATTCCACTTGAATCTCTGGTCGACTTTTGTAATGATTATAAACAGACAATTTGGAGATATTCTCTCAACTTCTCTTATTAAATGTATAAAGAGTTCCCTTCAAAAAAAAATATGTATAAAGAGTTAATACCATATGGGGTCTTCCTAGTATAGTGATTTAGTCCGTAACTTTCAAATTGACTACATGTAGACCTTTGACTTTCAAATTGTTACTATCCACAGTCCAAGTTAACTACTTATGATCCTTCAACTTTTAAAATTTAACCAGTCAGGAAGGACCATGGCTTATTAAGTTTTGATAATTAAAGAACTAAGGGTTGTTAACTTGGACCACGAATAGTTAATTTGAACATTTAAGATTAAACGTGGCAAAATCCCTATACTCAGAGAATCCCATATGACATTAACTCAATGTATGAAATATAAACCCCTTTTTGGTTCACTTGAACCGCTATTCGACTTCCATAATGATGATTATAAAGAGACAAAAATGATTGCGTTGCCAATAAAACCGATATAATGATGCACTTAACAGCTTTAATTAGTGATGGGTTAGTGCCACCAATCTTCATCGGCCACGCTCCCCCCATTCTAAAGCCAGATCAGATTCGGGTCGGATGACAGAGACAGGATTAGAAATTTTAGCTAATTTTGACCTGGAATTGGATCATCCAATAGAGGGAGAGGGGAGGGCATATTATTCTGGAATTGACGGAGATTGATGGGTGCACTATAAGGGGGAATGGGAGGCCGAGAATGACAAAAGGAGTTAATTAGTCTGAGGATATAGCTCAATAGTGTGTCAATTTACCACACCTTTGCTGCAATAAGAGACATCTAAGACAGCTTACTGAGAAAAGGGCTCTCCTGAAAAGGCCAAATCAGAACGTTTATGCTGCCAACCAAACAGGAATCAACCTGGAACTGTTGCTTTCATCTCAATTTTTTTTGCTTTTTCTGCTTTTAACTTTATGTGAATCCATGGGGTGTATAAGAGTATCAATTCCCTTCATGTAAAGTTACTATCAAAACCAGAGGATTCCTGTATGCAGTAGACAATGTATCATTAGAAGGTGACCTATTCCAGCATTATCAGTAAGGCTGAAAATTCGAGAAAGAACAAAGTATATTACACTCGGGCTGTCGGTGAGTTGAAAATTATCAGAGAAAGGGGCATACCAATATACCATATAGTTGGCATTAATAAAATGTGCAAATTGCATTCTAATTTTAAAAAAAAATGCAGGTTGTAGGAAAAAACCAGAGAAGGGCATACCATATAGTTGGCATTAATAAAAAAAAAAGTGCAAATTGCATTCTAGTAAAACAGTGCAGGTTGTTTTCAGTATAAGCAGTGCTATAGTTACCTCCACCCGTCTTGGCAGATCAAGTGGGGGATCTCTTCGTACTAGCATTTGGTTAGCTCCAACATATTGCAGAGGCTTGTGATATCAGGTAATCAGGTATTACGCCTTCACCAGCAGGCCTTGTAATACCGTTTCCTACAAGGTCATTCAATATATTAGTAGCGTCTTTGGCTCCTCCATGCTGCAGGAACTTCATCCTTAGAACTGAACCTGTTGCCGGTGATAGTGGATCCTCTTGGCATATCTTTTCCCAAATGGTTGCTGAAAAGCATTTTGCATACAAGTAGCTATAGTAACCTGTAGAATTTAAATCAGTCAGATAAATCTCATGACTTAGGCTATGTATCCCATATCTCATAGACATGATCAATTCCCATGGTTAGATATAACTTTAGGCTAACAAGTAGACAGTTCTATTACTGGCTGTATATTGCAGCATGTAGTGTACCAGCACCATAGTTTGTAAGATGATTAAATTGGGTGTGCCAATGCGTCCCTTCCACATGTTTCCAGCTTGTATGTTGTCTTTTGAGATCAGCAACAATTGATATTGAATCTCTGACTGAGGATGGCTACTCTCCAAAAAGTGTTTGATCAACTAAAGCGTAGAAAATCTGATAAAATGACAAAAGAAGATATGCAGGTGAATGCTTTCCAAATCCTGCTACAAGTAAACTCTACAAATGTTTATAAACAACAATTTCAAGCCCAGAACAACAAACCTGTTGTTGCAATTTTGTTGCAGCAAACATATTTTTCGCTCCAAGCATTGATTCTACCAATTCTTTTGGTATGACATCACCAGTTGAGTAGTGCTTAGCAAATGTCCTTAAAACCCGATAATCCAATGCAAAGTGCCTTTAGGTACCAAGGTAAATGACATCACAATTAACAATCAGCAACAAGGTGGCCTTTGGGACCAACACTATTTGCTCCAATCATTGATTTTGTTATTCTAAAACATCAGGATAAAACGAAGGTATGTTATACTCACTCAAAGAGTGTTGAAGGTGTTTCAGCAAAACCAAGAACAGCTCTAGTCCCTGAAAAATGTTGATATTCCTGTACAAACAATCATCAAGTAAAACTCATCAAAATGATGAAGCTTATGCAGTGTCCACTAGAGAATATAGACGCAGTCCATCCAATACCGTACCTGAGAGAAATGAATGAAGAGCATGCCCGAATTCATGAAAAAGTGTTTCTACTTCAAGTTGGTTAAGCATAACTGGTGTTGAACTTGGACCAGAAAAATCACAAATGAGGGCAACAATCTGCAAGTTATCATGAATATATAAAAATGCATGTAAATAGGACCCCCACCCACCCCCCCCCCCCCCCCAAAAAAAAAAAAAAAAAAGCTCAAGCTATAGTTGTACAAGTCTAAATGATAAAATATATTAATAATGAAAAAAAGAGTAGAATAAATATCTTACATACAGGAAGTTGGTACTCTGTCTCAGAAATGCGACGTCCTCCTCTGGTAGCAAAATGGGCACAAATCTTTTCTTGATTTCAAATCAAGGTATAAGTAGCCCAGTTCACCCTGACATATATATGTTATGGATCAGTTCAAGCATAAAAGGGTGGTAAAGACTAACAGTAAAAAGTAAAAGCAAGTGGTGTGTTCTGGGGAGAAAGTGCACATATCTAAACAAGATAATATAAACTATGCACCCGCACGAAAATGTAACACAAAACAAAGAGTTTTGACTTCCAAAATATGCTGGGTGAAAAGCAGCGTAGACTCGTAGAGAGCTTTTAGTGAACCCTTTGTAATAAATTTAGAAAGAAAAATCAGTTTGATGAGAGATATAAAGAATATTACCTCATTAGGATGGTGTAGTAATATTTTTATCACATCTGGATGCCATGATTCACCAGGGGCCAGGGGTATCTGTCTAAATGTCACACCAAATGCACAATGAGAACCCAATAAATTAACATCCCACTCAAAGTGATGGAGAAATGAGGACGGGAATATTGAGCACATGAATTGCAAGATCACAGAAAATCTGCAGTTAATGACTATAGAAGCAGATTATGGATTATGAGAATATAAATTAAATAAAATGATACTCTTTTTGGTAAGTAATATATCAAATGATTCTCTTTTTTTTTTTTTTTTTTTTTGTTAAATATATATACCGGAAAAATGAAATGATACTTACAAATAAAAAAGGAATGGAGCAATCAAAATCTTCTCTCTCTCTCTCTTTGAGAGAATAATTGAATGCTATTTAATATATGGTAATTCAAATATGATCCTAGATTTCAGTATAACAAATCAACAGGTCTAAAGGTCTGTTTGCTTTTAGAAATGCAACCTGAGCAAATTTGTGGCAAGCAGCAATAAGCTTATCAAGAACCTCAAGATTCGTGCGTGGGGCAGAATTTCCCTGGAAATATGCCATCTTCCTAACCTGTACACATTTCTGAAGTTGACAAAATAGATGGAATAATAAACAATGTGGTAATCTAGCTTCCATCTAGTTACAGTGGCTCAGTGCAAAGGATATTGAACGTTATACATGCTGGTGAAGGGTAAGAAGATAGAAAAGATTTAAGGAACAAAGAGCAGATTGTGCTTCATTTTAGTGGCAGACAGAGAGTTAAAACTAAATTTACAGCCTCCAGTAAAGTTGTTGCTAAGACTGAGGTCCTAAAGCAACTCTTCCATTTCCAAATTCTGTTCTGCTTATCAAATATAATTTATTTCTTTCCTAATGGTACCAGCACAATCACGTCATTGTATATTCTTTCCCTTCTCTTCTTCAGTTAGTGGTATCTTTCTCATTTCCTTTCTCAACCAAACCCCAAAGCATAATATGGATTGAGTGTGTTCCTTTCAGAGCATGGGACATGTTAACTTGGGTTCGGAATTTTGGCACTTGGCATGTGCTTATGAAAGAGCCTCAAAACAGAGGGTTAAAAAAACTGCCATTTGCTCCAATTTGTGAACCAAGCATTATAAAATTTAAAAAAAAAAAAAAAAAAAAAAAAAAAAAAAAAGACGCCAATTATTGCACAATGAAATGCTGTACAAAGAAAAGTAGGTTGATTGTCTCTAATAACCCAGGCATGCACAAAAAAAGTAGGCTGTCCTTCACTCAGTTTAAGAGAGAAATTTAAGGATGTGGACATGAAAAATAGCAATTAACTATTTAGAACTGCATCAAAATTCAAAATGTTACCTCGGCATCTGATACACATTGAAGGACATGCTGCAAACTGTTTGGTGAAGTTACCAACCTAAAGCCCTTCTCCTTCACGCTGTCTCTAGACCATACGGATTCCTTGGAGGTACCCCTTGGAAAACGATAGATAGGCTTGACAAGGTGGTGCCAAGTTTTAGAAACTCATGAAGCTGGAAATATATCCACTTGACCTGGGTCAGTGACAATATTTGTACTAAACCTGATAAAAAAAATAGTCATAGAGAAGTATCTTGTAAGTATTCAGTCAAGTAGATGGTAGACCAGCGGCAAAATTCAAAAAGTGAAAGATGAATGCATATGCAGTGCAGAAGGATGGCAAAAAACTATCAGAAAGACCTAACGAATAAGCCATGATGTGCATTGTGTGTGATGAGTGTAGAAGAAACCAAATGTGGAGGGAAGAGAAGTGGTGAGAGAAGATTGGGTAGCCCCGGCAAGATATGGTTTTTGGAACAGTAATCACGTCAAAAAAAAAAAAAAAAATTAATTAATTAATTAAAAAAAAATCACGCTATGCACGTTTCGCGCACATACTATGGCCACACGGGCACGTGCAGTGCACGCGCCCTGTGGCGCATCAAGCACGCCTGACAGTGCATTTTAATACGTAGTAATTTTTTTAAAAATCAATTTTGCTTTATTTTTTTTTTCTTTTTTCTCTCCCCTCCCATATTCTCTTTCCTAATCACACTTACAAAAAACTTCTCAAAAATCACAAAATATTTTCACTATTATGGATGCTCTAATTGAATGTCTCATTTGCTTTTCGCAATACAACATAACAAATGTTACTAACTTCCCAATTTTTTCCCTCAAAAGTAGGTGTTATTTGTACAAAGTACAATTGTACTTACCTCTAGAAATTTGAAAAGTCAAAAGGATAAATTGAAAAATGTAGAATGATAGTTATGTTCAACTTTGAAAAATGACACTATTTTGGGACAAACTAAAAAGGAAAGTAAGACGGGTAAAATGAAACGGAGGGTTGAATTGCAAAGCATGGCATTTAAAAGGGAAGAATAAGATGACAAGTTACAAGTTTCAAAACAAAATACTCCATAGAACACATCCAATAGAAATTCAACCTTTTCCTTAGTTTAGCAGGGAAAACAAATGATGACTTCCAATTCTTTTTTATTTTTTAACTAGATTCACCCATTATTCCCATTAATACTCTAGTCTTTGGGCAGACTGCCTACAAATTTAGCTGGTACTGCTAAATTTTGATGCACAATGCAACATGTTTTGACCTAAGGAAGGCGATGAGAGATTTAGCTATATTTCTAAACAGAAGTTAATACATTAAGGCAATATAAGACGAGTGAGAGGTTACGTTAGAATGGTGCATACCGTCAAAACCTCTTCAGCTCCAATTTCACCACCACCATAGACAAAAAGGTAGCCTCTTAAACTGTTTTGAGATCTGTTAGCAGAGCAATGCAAAACAGTAACAGGAAGCCTTCTGTCTCCTGATAATAGTTGCAACTTAACAACATTGTTAGACAGATTTTCAGTCTTGGGGCTTTTACTACAGTCTGGCACAGATAAGTTCCATAGGAAAATATCACCATCTACATAACCAACAGCAAGAATTGATCCATCAGAGGACAACCAACAAAGGGAACTTATTTCCTTTTCTTCTTGGTCATGATCTTTGGAATCATTTGCATGCACTGTGCTCATATTTGTTTGAGTACAAACAAAAATTTCCTTTGGTTGAAGATGGTTTTGAATACTAACAAAAACAGCTCTATCTTCTGTAATATCCCAGAGAATAAGTAATCCATTTTCATAAGCAATTAGGACTCTGTAAACAAATAGAGAAGGAAAGGTTAAGAAGTTATGCTGCTTATTGCTGCTTTAAAACAGTAAAACTTGATCAAGTGTGGCAAGCTTGCCAAATTAGCACTCCATATATAAACATTTTCAAAACGAGAAAATCATGAAAAGGAAAACTTATTATTTATTACCTATTTCCAAATGAACAAGGATGGGGAAGCAACCCAACAATAGATAGTAGTTGGTCGGGCATTGAACTTGCATCAATTAATTCATACATTCTTTTGTTTTTTTAACAATGGTAAAGTAAAAGAAGTTTCACCCCCAACCCTGAGAAAAAATGAAGGCAAAGCTGTCCAGACCAAAAGAACTTGAAGATTTATGAAAGTTGCTAAAACAAACACCAGGTCCTAGCTGTTGGATGAAATTTCCACAATAAAAAGCTCTATTTAAGTACATAATGTAGATGAGTAATCAAGTCACCCTAATACCAGCTACAAGATTTGGAGGCACATAATATGGCAATTGTACAACATTCCTTTCCTCTGCATCATATTTGAGCACAGATAAATATCCACATTCATCCCCTAAATACCTGTTTGTAGAATAAAAACATGGTTAGGGAATGAATAAATGACATAAGATTTTTGGATGGAGTAAATATAAATTAAACAATTTTGGCTTTCACTACCCATTTACATGTAATGAGTGCCATAGATAACAGAGAATGCAGTTATGTTTGATTCCCACTTTAATTTTGAAGATAAGTGTCTGCTTGCCAGATCCCAGACCTGCAGAATTTGAATGAAACTGGCAGTCAGTAATAACAGAGTACTATCGTTCTTGAACCTTGGGGTGGGGATGTGGGGAGATAAAGAGATGGCCACAAGCAATATAAGAATACCCAGTTGATGAGAACAGTACTCTATGGCTCAAATTGCATAGACTGGAGTGGAAAGTACCTGAAATCCTGAATATCATTTTCCTTTGAGATGCTCACTAAGAAACCTTGGTTTTGCAAAAACTGAAAAAGAAAAAAGCACAAGAGAAATGATAATTAGTTGGCAAACACAAAAGGAGGTTTTGCACTGTAAATAAAGGAAATCAGTAAGTTCTAGAATTTAAAAAGAACCTCGTCTGTTACAAATTTCAGAATCAACTGATGAATAAGGGACCCAATCATACAAAACATACTATTAATACCAAAAGATAATTCCAGCAAAGACCTTAAAATATCACTACACAAGTACACAGTACTTTTATCTCACCAACCTCCAAATTCTTGAAAGGCACTGGCTTTGGAGATACAAGAAGGCCTTCAATATTGTCACCTCCAACAACTTTAATCCTACCATCCCTGGAATTAAAATTATCAGGAAAAATCAAGCCAATAATTTTGAACAGAATACAAGATCTGGAGAGCTATTATTTGTTTCTAATGGTATGCATATGGTGGTTATGGTTATCATTATGCATGCAAGTACGTGAATTCAAATGCTGACTTGATGTCTCCAAGCTTTCTCTCAAAGACATCATGGTTGGCTGGTAATGCAGAGTACATATAGTACAAATATATACAGTATATAACACATTGTAGCACATTCATTTATTGGGACAAATCATTAGCATCAAATACTATCAAGTGAATAAATTAAATTACTAGAAAAAGGCAAACTTCTTGCTTATCCATGTGTTATTAGGTGTTTATCTATGTCCCTTCATAGACAATACTATACTAATACTGCACTGAAATAAGCTCCCTACTCACGATGTCCCAATCGCTAAAAGCTGTTGAATAGGGTCAAAAGCCAGAATAGATGCAGGATATAGCTCGGTCACGCTCACCCCATTCTAAAGCCAGATCAGATTCGGTTCGGATGACAGAGACAGGATTAGAAATTTTAGCTAATTTTGACCAATAGAGGGAGAGGGGAGGCATATTATTCTGGAATTGACGGAGATTGATAGGGGCACTATAAGGGGGAATGGGATGCCGAGAATGACAAAAGGAGTTAATTAGTCTGAGGATATAGCTCAATAGTCTCAAATTTACCACAACTTTGCGGCAATAAGAGACATCAAAGACAGCTTACTGGGAAAAGGGCTCTCCTGAAAGTGCCAAATCAGAACGTTTATGCTGCCAACCAAACAGGAATCAACCCGGAACTGTTGCTTTCATCTCAATTTTTTTTTTTTTTCTGCTTTTAACTTTATGTGAATCCATAGGGTGTAATGGTGTATACGACTATCAAAACCTGAGGATTCCTATATGCAGTAGACAATGTATCATTAGAAGGTTACCTATTCCAGCATTATCAGTAAGGCTGAAAAGTTCGAGAAAGAACAAAGTATATGACACTCGGGTTGTCGGAGAGTGGAAAAATATCAGAGAAAGGGGCATACCATATGGTTGGCATTAATAAAAAGTGCACATTGCATTCTAATAAAAAGATGCAGGTTGTTTTCAGTATAAGCAGTGCTGGAGTTACCTCTATGTGACAACATATTGCTAGTTTCTCCACCCCTCTTGGCAGATCAAGTGGGGGGATCTCTTCGTACTAGCATTTGGTTAGCTCCAACATATTGCAGAGGCTTGTGACATCAGGTATTACGCCTTCACCAGCAGGCCTTGTAATACCATTTCCTACAAGGTCATTCAATATATTAGAAGCGTCTTTGGCTCCTCCATGCTGCAGGAACTTCATCTTTAGAACTGAACCTGTTGCCGGTGATAGTGGATCCTCTTGGCATATCTTTTCCCAAATGGTTGCTGAAAAGCATTTTGCATACAAGTAGCTATAGTAACCTGTAGAATTTAATTTAGTCAGATAAATCTCATGACTTAGGCTATATCCCATATCTCATAGACATGATCAATTCCCATGGTTAGATATAACTTTAGGCTAACAAGTAGACAGTTTTATTACTGGCTGTATATTTCAGCATGCAGTATACCTGCACCATAGTTTGTAAGATGATTAAATTGGGTGTGCCAATGCGTCCCTTCCACATGTTTCCAGCTTGTATGTTGTCTTTTGAGATCAGCAACAATTGATATTGAATCTCTGACTGAGGATGGCTACTCTCCAAAAAGTGTTTGATCAACTAAAGCATAGAAAATCTGATAAAATGACAAAAGAAGATATGCAGGTGAATGCTTTCCAAATCTTGCTATTAGTAAACTCTACAAATGTTTATAAACAACAATTTCAAGCCCAGAACAACAAACCTGTCATTGCAATTCTGTTGCAGCAAACATACTTTTCGCTCCAAGCATTGATTCTACCAATTCTTTTGGTTTGACATCACCAGTTGAGTAGTGCTTAGCAAATGTCCTTAAAACCCGATAGTCCAATGCAAAGTGCCTTTAGGTACCAAGGTAAATGACATCACAATTAACAATCAGCAACAAGGTGGCTTTTGGGACCAACACTATTTGCTCCATTCATTGATTTTGTTATTCTAAAACATCGGGATGAAATGAAGGTATGTTATACTCACTCAAAGAGTGTTGAGGGTGTTTCAGCAGAATCAAGAACAGCTCTAGTCCCAGAAAAATGTTGATATTCCTAGACAAACAATCATCAAGTAAAACTCATCAAAACGATGAAGCTTAAACAGTGTCCACTGGAGAATATAGAGGCAGTCCCTCCAATACCGTTCTTGAGAGCAATGAATGAAGAGCATGCACGAATTCATGAAAAAGTGTTTCTACTTCAAGTTGGTTAAGCATAACTGATGTTGAACTTGGACCAGAAAAATCACAAATGAGAGCAACAATCTGCAAGTTATCATGCATATATAAAAATGCATGTAAATAGGATAAATGGGCACAAATGGGATGTTATGGATTTCAAAAACAAGTGTTGTGTTCTGGGGAGAAAGTGCACATATCTAAAAAGATGATATAAACTATGAACCCACACGAAAATGTAACACAAAACAAAGAGTTTTGACTTCCAAAATGTGCTAGGTGAAAAGCAGTGTAGAGAGCTTCTTTTTTTTTTTTTTTGAAAACTGTAGAGAGCTTTTAGTGAACCCTTTGTAATAAATTTAGAAAGAAAAATCAGTTTGATGAGAGATATAACTTCAAGTACATAAGAAGTACAAGTATTCTATAAAGAATATTACCTCATTAGGATGATGTAGTAATATTTTTATCACATCTGGATGCCATGATTCACCAGGGGCCAGGGGTATCTGTCTAAATGTCACACCAAACAGTGACTCAACCAAAACCTCTAAGCCCTCTATACATCGTGCTAAAGGAAAATATGATGCCACAGCCTACAAGATTGAGAGAGGAAAATACTCTGTATAAGAATAATCTTTGCAAGTAACTTTCATATTTTCATATTTTGGCAAAATGTATAGAGAAGACAAATAAAATATATTTATTGTGAACTCACAAAAAACAAAGACATTCCACTTACCTAGGAATTCAAGTTGTATGCAGAATACTTCATCAACCACGTGAAGTATCCCTCATCCCATGGCTCTAAGCCTCCACCCAGGTCACAACTTTTCACTCTCTTAAACTCCTCAATTGCCTTACATTCCTACATAAAGCATCATGCTCTGAGTATAATTTCTGCAAAACATGCATCAAGAATAATTGCAGGAAATACTGTATAAGCTTGAACAAAATACCATGTCAGCCTTGGCTCTAACTGATTTGCTCATCTTGTGCTTAAAGGAAAAGACTACTTCCGGTGATGCAGCCATAGTTGAATGTAGAGAAAATGCAGAATAAGATTTATACCCCAGAATCTGCAAGCTAGCCCAAAAAATTAATGGCAACAAAAAATTGTGTAAATATTTTACTAGTTGGCCAAATAATTTGGTACCAATCAAAATTTAGGCCCCATAAAATGCACAATGAGAACCCAATAAATAAAGATCCCACTCAAAGTGATGGAGAAATGAGGACGGGAATAGTGAGCACATGAATTGCAAGATCACAGAAAATCTGCAGTTAATGACTATAGAAGCACATTATGGATTATGAGAATATAAATTAATAAAATGATACTCTTTTTTGGTAAGTAATATATCAAATGATTCTCTCCCTCTCTCTCTCTCTCTCTCTCTTTTTTAATATAACGGAAAAATGAAATGATACTTTTCAAATAAAAAAGGAATGGAGCAATAAAAATCTTCTTCTCTCGCTATCATTTTTTTGTTTTTTTTAGAATAATCGAGTGCTATTTAATATATGGTAATTCAAATATGATCCTAGATTTCAGTATAACAAATCATCAGGTCTAAAGGTCTGTTTGCTTTCAGAAATGCATTAGCACGTGGGGCAGAATCTGTCAATAGAATGAATTTTTGACACCATCGAAGACAAACATCCAAAGAATCTGCTACATGTTCAAACTGCCTAATACCAGAAACAATTAGGGTGCAGAAATTCAATTCAATAGGGATGTCATCATAGCACAAGATTCTAGCGTGCATGTGTAACAAAGAAGGATAATTGTTTAAGGTCAATTCTGTCAAACATGACCTGTGAAAACCTACATGGTTCCTAACTCAAATATACACAAAAGTCCCACGTCTAAACAGATTACATCAAAACAGAAGCGTATAACAGTACAGGTACTAGAGAATGCAAATGTTTGGGTCTGTAACAGCTCAGTGTTGCTGGTTATGATCATCGCTATCCATCTCTTCTGCATCCTCAAACCGTTGATCGTTAATTTGAAGCTGCAATTTTTAAAAATGGCATAACCATGACTCAGCATTTTGAATAATAAAATCAATAGGGAACATTTAGTCATTTACACTTAAAGCCAAAGATAATTACATAAAATAATAATAATAATAATAATAATAATAATAATAAAAAGAGTAAAAAAGCCAAAGAGAATTACATAAGCCACAAGAGTGCTGGACAGCTGACAGTGGTGGACTTGCTGCAGGTAAAATATAAAAAAGTAATCAGTTGCTAAGCAATAGTCATTGGCTGCAAGCATTAGTCAGTGGCCAAAGTTTGCAGTTGATGAAGAAAGCAAGAAAGCATAGAATATATGAATGGCACGTACTCTTAGGCTCTAAATCTCTTAGCACACTCAATTCCACATTCGAAAGTACCTCTCCAATACATTCTTTCAGTTCCTTGGGTGTGCTTGCGTAATGTATCAAAGAAGGCCTGGTGAAAAATAGAGACTTTGCTGCAAGAACTGATACAGGCAGAGGATCTGGCAATGAAGGTCCAACACTCACCATATAGCCACGAGTTTTCAAGCAGTCCAAGGATCTCTGTTTTAAAAAAAAAAAAAAAAACAAAAAGAAAAAAAACAAAAGTTTCAAACAAGAACTAAGTAACAAGTTTTGAGGCCATTTATTAACAAATATAATAGTGAAAGTGAGAATATAATACCTGAAATGTCTCTTGTCCAACAAAGTCATACACAACCTCCACTCCTTGTCCGGACGTGATCTTATCAACACGGGAGACAAGATCCTCCTCCTTGTAGAGTATGGTATGATGGCAACCATACTCTTTAGCTTGGGCGGCCTGTTCTTTAGTTAGGACCGTGCCAATGACTGTTGCCCCAATAGCTTTTGCCCATTGGCACATAATGGAGCCAACTCCAGCTGCTACAGGGTGAATCAGAACCATGTGTTCAGGCTTAACCTGAAATTTTCATGAAAGCTAGCATGAGAAAGCTGAAGAATAACAATTCAATATGTAAGCAGGGATAAACGTTGAGGAATAGCAAACCTGGAAGCAACTGCAAAGTAAAAATTGCGTCATCATCCCCTTCAAAAGCAGGGACATTGCTGTATCAGTGAGAACAAGCCTAGGAACAAGAGCCACTTTGTCAGCAGATAAGATCTGTTCTTCAACATATAATCCCGTTGGGTAGGGATCATAATAAGCAACACGATCGCCAGGTTTTATCCCAGTTACTCCCGAACCCAATGCTTTGACCACACCAACGGCGCCAATACCTGTAATGAAGGAAAGGAATTAGATTTCAAATTTTAAGGAAAGAAAAACTATAAATCCTAAAGAACAAACCTTGTATACAGGAATTGGAATCCACAGCATGAAAGCTAATGTCATGAGTCTCAAATTTCACAAGGACCTCCCCTTCCTTTGGGGGTCCTAGCTCAATGTCCTCCCACTTAAAAATCTATGACCAAATGGAGTAAGAATCAGTTAACATTCAGATGTTTTAAGATGACAAAGTGAAAACAAGCAAATTAAATGTCACATGAACAAGGAAAATATATGTCCAAGACTGAATACATTTGCAAAGAAAGATCAAGTCAAAATTGAGTCACAGGAAAATTTTACTTTGGTGAAAATCTTGTACAAATCAAGTTAATAAGAATTTTCAAGCACTCACAAGAGCAATCTGAAAAAGGATTCACTGCAAGACTGAATACATTTGCAAAGAAATATCAAGTCCAAATTGAGTCACAGGAAAATTTTACTTTGGTGAAAATCTTGTACAAATCAAGTTAATAAGAATTTTCAAGCACTCACAAGAGCAATCTGAAAAAGGATTCACTGCAAGACTGAATACATTTGCAAAGAAATATCAAGTCCAAATTGAGTCACAGGAAAATTTTACTTTGGTGAAAATCTTGTACAAATCAAGTTAATAAGAATTTTCAAGCACTCACAAGAGCAATCTGAAAAAGGATTCACTGCAAGACTGAATACATTTGCAAAGAAATATCAAGTCCAAATTGAGTCACATCTTGTACACATCAAGTTAATAAGAATTTTCAAGCACGCAATCTGAAAAAGGCTTCACTCCAAAGATCAAGCCAAAATTGAGTCACAGGAACATTTAAGAAAATCATTCAACAAGATTCTATTGGAAATAGAAAAAATGAGTAGAAAGTAGTGGTGGACACTTGTTAAACACCTAATAGACTTGTAATTTGTTTGGAAACAAGATTACTAATGAATCTCTTTCCGGTGGGAAGGAGAAAATTAAAATTGAGAAATCATACAATTCTTTGAACCACTATAATATTTCTAATTACACATTCACGTTTTCAAGACTATTTAGTTAAAATTTCAACATTACTTTTTGAAGTAATGTTGAAAAATTAACTTAAAAAATTAACGTATTTAGTAAATAAAGGGAGAGAGATGTACCCAATGATCACCGAATCTAATAGACTTCACCATTGTAGTGTTTCCGGCGAGAAGAACAAAAACTGGGGGAAGAAGAGAAATGCGAAAAGAAACAAAATTGGGGGGAAGAAAAGACGAAGATTCAATCTAAATATAAAATCAAATGTCAACTGTCAACTATCACATAAAAGAGTGTTTGGGCCGGCCCATTGTATACTTCCTATACCAACGGCCCATGTCGAAGACGTTGCTTGTCAGCTGGTTCTGCACCCCGGTTCAGTATCAATTATCATCAAGATTATCCAGAATCGGAACCAGAACCGACGGTATGGTCTCAAATTTTATATTTCATACATTTCATTATCTTCCTTATATGACAATTTCAAATGGGATAATTAACTTTCTTTTTAATTGATGGTGGGGTCACTCAATTCATGGACACCAATAATTTTAAGACATCATAGGAAAGTATTAGGAAAAAATTTAGAGGGGAAAATATCATCTTCCAAACATAAGTCTCTATATGGCTTGAAGCAATCACTACGAGCTTGGTTTGGGAGGTTTAGTAGTGTGATTATTGAGTTTGGTATGCAAAGGAGTATGTGTGATCATACTGTCTTTTTCAAGCACACTAATGTTGGGTGCATTCTCTTGATTGTTTATGTTGATGATATAGTAATCACAGGTAGTGATGCAGTGGGGATTGAAGCTCTTAAATCTTTTCTCAAAGAAAAGTTTCACACGAAAGATTTGGGAGTGTTGAAGTATTTTCTAGGGATTGAAGTTGCTCACTCTCGGAGATGAATATTTCTTTCTCAAAGGAAATATGTACTAGATTTGCTTAATGATACTGGGTTGTTGGGATCAAAACCATGCGAGACTCCTATGGAGCATGGTGTTAGACTTGTGACTGGTGAGGGGGAGGCCTTTGACTTTCCAGAAAGATATAGGAAGTTGGTGGGAAAGTTGAACTATCTCACCATTACGCGTCCAGACATTGCTTTACCAGTCAGTGTGGTAAGTCAGTTCATGCAAGCACCTACGCGAGCTCATGGTGTGATAATCAAGCAGCTATACACATTTCAAATAATCCAGTGTTCCATGAGCGTACCAAACATATTGAGGTAGATTGTCATTTTGTACGTGAGAAGATTCAACAAGGCTTAATTTCTATGGCTCATGTTCGTAGTGGCGATCAACTAGCTGATTTGTTCACCAAAGGGCTCAGTAAGGACAGGGTTGAATATATTTGTAACAAGCTGGGCATACTTAATATCTATGCTCCAGCTTGAGGGGGGTGTTAAAGATAAACAGTTATAGAAGATAGAAAAGCATAGAAATAAAGACTAGGAAGTGAAGAGTCTATAAACTGTCCATTGTTGTAGTATATATATTTGAGGTGTAGCAGTGAAGAAATACACAGAAAACAGAGAAATAAGAAACAAGCTCAGTGTTCAAAGCTTCTTCCTTTTAGTTTTCTTCTTCACATACAAAGTATAGTGGCCCAGAAAGGACTCCAATTACTCCAAACTAAGACGGCGCATTTTGCACACAAGGTTGGCAGTGGGTAGATGAAGCTGCAGATTTCCAGAATCAGATTTTACAAGTTCCTTGAGCTTATTTCTTGGAGTGGAGAGACATGAATAGAAGGTGGCAAGAACTGGAGGAACAGGCATCGATAGAGCTGAAAGCACATTACTTAATAAGTACTCAATATCAACAGAGAGTTGCTGTGCTCCACGATCGCTGATATAATGAATGCCACGCAATTGTTCCACATAAAGAGCAGTAGCACCTTCTGCAACCTATTCAACACAAACACAAGAAAGAATAGTTAACTTATAGGTTTAGCTGGAGGAAAGTTTAAATGGAATATGTGTTATTGAACATATTTTAACTACTTCAAATCCCAAGAATAATAATAGACCATTTTCTAAAACAGCCATTAGATCCTAGTTGTTATCTAATTCTTCTTTAAATGATGAAGATTGGATTGGAACATTTCATTTTTCGGGCAAAAAAAAAGAAAAAAACGAAGCACACTACTACTTATATAGCATAAGAACTAAAATCCAAGAGTGCAGATGCAATATGATAGTTCATCAATTCAGAATTTCAGATAAGCTGCCAGTAATAGCATTAATAATGGAAACAGACAAAATTAAAACCTAAATTTTTAAAATTTAGTTACCTTAGGCATCCATTCAGTAGCAAAGTACTGGGCCTCATCAGCATTGGCATCAGATTTGGAAATTCCCTCTGCGAGAAGCTCTAATTGTTTGGGTAACGTCAGAAGATACTCACCAACATTAGTAACATAAGACTGAGGATCTGCACTGAATATTGGGAGGGGACGAGCACTATGCTCTTCTACAGAAGACCATATAGGCAAACGAGATAAATCATCATTGAAGTGTTGTCGTACTTTTGATACAAGTACATCATAAACAAGCTCATTAACCGCATCCGCAAAAGCTGTAACCCGTTGAGAAGCAACTGGAAGTGCATGAAACTGGGGATCCTTAGACTGCAAGAAATACAAAAAATTACTCATAAATTTAATATAAACATCACATAAGAAAAGTATATATAGACAGAGAGGTTTCCAGATCTAGAAAAGAAAAGGACTCGCAGATGTATGTGGCAACTCTTTATTATTTTTCACCAGATCACCATATAGGTAATAGGTTCATTCCATCTATTTATTCATCAGTTTGACACCCACTTTAGGGGAAGTAGCATTGATATATTCATTTTATTTTTAACCACAAAAAAATAATAATAATAATAATAAAAATAAAAATAAAAAAATAAAAAGATATTGGCATGAACTCTGAGGAAGGTAGTCAGCTTTCTCTATCCCAACTACCTGCTTCAATAGATTAAGAAGTTTCCGAGCTTTTTCAGGAACACCAATAAGCCTCACAGCTGCCACATCCAAGGCAGCCCTTCCGGTCACAGCTACCTGTCCACTTCCATCATCATTGGCCGCATGTGACTGGTTCTGATTAAGACTTGAACCAAATACCGAAAAAGATAAATTTGTCCTCAATCTGGCAAGGGTAGCCTTGAGGGAAGCTTCAAAGACAGATGATCTGCTGGTTAAACAATCAGCAACCGTGAGAATTTGCAATGCACCTTGGACAAATGACCATTCCTCCTCATTTGACATGAAGTCAACCTTGCGTGAGTTGGAAGCTCCTTCCCTCCTGTCAGATTCCATTTCTTTCTTTGAACCAACAGCATCAGCATCCAATCCACACAAAGCTCTTAGTGATTTTAAATTATCCTGCAAAGTGGAAATGTACTGTAGCATAACATCATCCAGAGCAAGAATAAGCTCATCCGCCTCAGAACCACCAGTGAAATTAATGCATCTCTCTACAGCAGCTTCAAGAAGTAAAATGATTTGTGGGATACACTCTTCCATCCTTCCAACTGTTTCTCTAAGTTCAACTCCCTGAACCCCAACAAGAGTGATGGCAGCTCCTCTGAGGTCAAGTCCTGCAATCTCAACAGAGAGAACGGCACGCTCCATTTGTCCATACCTAAGAACAGATCAAACAGGCACACAATGCAAGAACATTTAGTTCAGAAAGCCAATAAAGAATAATTGTATGATGTATATTTAAAGATCCTGTTTTGGCTATTTCACACCTAGCATGCTGAATCTATTGAAACAAACTTAGAAATCCATCCAATTCCATTCCATGGTTAAGTACAACAACGATAGATGTAGCAATCACCAGATAAAATCTTAATCACAAGAGCCAAATTGGAAGCTGAGTTAATTAAAAGCAGATACATTCGAGCCTCCAAATTTCATGTTTACAACTAAGAGTTAATTAAAAGCACATATATTCTAATGACAACAACACTTCTGTCCAATGAAAAACTTTTTAAAGGATTAATTTCTCAAGACCAAGAACAAGTAGGGGCAAAAGAACTTCTTTACACCTTTTAATATGATGATAGATGATAGATTTAAAAGCTCCTCTGAGAAAAATAAATAAATAAAATTGGTGTCTAGAAAACTAGAAAAATCTTTAAAAGCAGGATGCCCAAAAGAATGCTTCAGCAAAACCATGTGCCATTATAAACTTCATATGTGCTCACCGTCGTTTAAATGATTCAAAAGGACGGTATATGGCTTTCAAAACATCCAACATAACTTGAAGGCCAGTGTCTGAGAATAGGTGTTGGATATTCCTAGCGAAACTCCCTGTTGTATTGTGAAGTTCAATTAAGGCATCCAGATGTTTGGTTTGGACCTTGACACCTTTTGACAAATCTCCAGTTGAGATGTCTAAGATACCTGAAATTTTGACAGAATCTTAGTTATGATCATAGAAAATGCTTAGCAAAATATAGTACAGGTATGTTTGGATGCCATACGGATGATGAATTAGAGAGGACACATGCTCATCTATCATTTAATAAAGGTCATAATATTTATATAGGTTTCTATTTACAAATCCATACTTGCTCCACTACTCGCATTCCAAATCCTTGCTTACATAACCAAATATCATTTACATGAAAACAAGAAAGAATATGCTAAAATTGGTGACTAGAAGAGCGTGATTTGTTTTAAACAAGAGGCTGAAAAATGATTTACATACACCATCAATCAAAGTAAACAACAGACAAATATTGACTTTTCCTTAAGAATTAAACAGCTCCATGAAAATGCATTTGTGCAATTTCCCTTTGTCTATGTGACACCTTGCTTTTTGAGATGTCCTCAAATGTTTGACACACTGACACAGTCACAACCAACTTTCTTCCAGGTCATCATGACATGAGCAACTCAAGTTCAAATTTAAAACAGAATTTTTTATGATTTAAAAGCCTCTCAACTCTTAACCCATGTCTATCAAAATTTGTGACATATTTGGACGGAGGCAATAGAGTTAACTAGGACTACTACCTAAAATGAGTATACAAGACATGATAGGGAAGGCAATACTGGTATATTAGCAAGAAAACACATCGGTCTATAGGAAATATGATTACAGTCCACTCCAAAAGAGTACTAGAAATTAACCTTTGGCCAATGTTTTTGTCTCGGGGACAGCCTCCCCAGCAGCCAGGTTGATAGATGATACAAAGTTTGCACCAATAGCTGACATTGTTTCAATTACTAGATTTGGAACAAGTGTTTTATATTCTTCTGGAAAAGCAAGCACACACCTGTAGAAAATATCAAACTAGTTTTACTCAAACATAAACTGCAATCTATCCTCAAACAGCCACAAAGAATGCAATATTTTATACAAAATAATTTTGAAGTCTATCCATGTTATACCATTTCCATTCCTGTTCAAGATAAAGCAGCAATTTATCATAAAAACTGGGAAGCCAACGTGAAAATGAAATCGGGGATGAATTCAGTTGCAAATCATTAGCACTTGAGAGCCTTTCTACTTCAATCTTCTCATTTGAAACCTTATTTGCATGTTGCCTCAACTCAAAATCTTCCCAAAGATGTTTTATAGGCTTGAGGTGGACCTTTGAGTATTGCAGTTCTAATGACTTGAATCTCCCAATTCTATTGAGATTACTCCTCATTTCTTGGGCAACATCAACCTAGAAACAAGGATTTCAATTTATGTCCCTTTTCTACAGTCTCCAAGGAGATATGTGAATTCAAATGATTGTGAAGATAAAATATTTGCAAAAGGGAAGGAGAAAATGTGAAATTAAAGTAACCTTCCGATCCCTTAATGCGTCTGTCAAGCGAGGTTGCACCATCGAGTCTAGTCTATCTTCTAAAACTTCAAGTTGTTTCCTTATATTAGCAAATTCAGTAACCTGGAAATTTTAGGGACATTAATACAGCAATTTAGGGCCCAATAAAACATGATTTAACACCAAACAAAGGCAACCAATTTAAACAATACCTCACCAACAGCAGACAAGCAGTGCTTCATGTTTGCCAGTGTTTCTACAGCACGTGGAAGATCACCACTCGAAAATACATCCTCCACGGTTGAGCTTAATTGAGTCAAACCAGCCTCATCCTGTCCATTAGCAGATGAGAGCATTTAGTCCAAAAAAAGTGAGGTATGAGTGCATTAAATAACGAAAATTTACATTTACCTTGGAGCATTTGTGTAGCAAGAGACGAGTTGCCATCTCCTTGACGAGTGCGGATGATGCGGTAATCGGGTCAACCGAAGGAGGAACAAGCACCACTTTATCTGCCGGGAGTATTTGTTCTTCCGCAAATACTCCCTCTGGATAGCCATCATAATAGGCAACGAGATCACCGACTTTTATTGCGGTTATTCCCGAACCCAGGGCTATCACTACTCCAACCGCCCCCATACCTGTGAAGAATCAGATTTCAAATTTTGGCATTTTATGTTAAAAATTTCTGGAAGAACATCACATATACTGCATTTTCAGGATATTTTTAGTGTAAAAGATGGATTTCAGGAAAATTAAAACGCATATTATCCTTGCGTCCAGTCCAGTCAGTACAATTTATCCAGCAAACCTAACCTTGTATATAGGACATGGAATTTACACCATGAAAGTTAGGGTTAAGAGCCTGATTTTTCACCAGGATCTCCCCTTCCTTGGGAGATCCTACATCAATATCTTCCCACCTAAGAACCTATGACCAAATGGGGAAACAGTTAATAAAATTACCCTTTATCAGTTAACAAATTAAGATGACAAAGTGAAGATTACATGATGAATAAGACACATAACTACATCGCACAAATCAAGTTAATAAGAAATTTCAAGCACTCACAAGCGCAATCTGAAAAAGGCTTCACTCCAAGACTGAATAAATTTGCAAAGAAAGATAAAGTCCAAATTGTGTCACAGGAACATTTAATTTGGTGAAAATCTTGTACAAATCAAATGAATAAGAGTTTTCAAACACTCACAAGCGTAATTAACAAATTAAGATGACAAAGTGAAGATTACATGATGAATAAGACACATAACTACATCGCACAAATCAAGTTAATAAGAACATTTAATTTGGTGAAAATCTTGTACAAATCAAATGAATAAGAATTTTCAAGCACTCACAATCGCAATCTGAAATAGGATTCACTCCAAGACTGAATACATTTTCAAAGAAAGATCAGTCCAGATTGAGTCACAGGAACATTTAATTTGGTGAAAATCTTGTACACATCAAGTTAATAAGAAATTTCAAGCACGACTAACAAGCGCAATCTGAAAAAGGCTTCACTCCAAGACTGAATAAATTTGCAAAGAAAGATAAAGTCCAAATTGTGTCACAGGAACATTTAATTTGGTGAAAATCTTGTACAAATCAAATGAATAAGAATTTTCAAACACTCACAAGCGCAATTAACAAATTAAGATGACAAAGTGAAGATTACATGATGAATAAGACACATAACTACATCGCACAAATCAAGTTAATAAGAACATTTAATTTGGTGAAAATCTTGTACAAATCAAATGAATAAGAATTTTCAAGCACTCACAATCGCAATCTGAAATAGGATTCACTCCAGGACTGAATACATTTTCAAAGAAAGATCAAGTCCAGATTGAGTCAGAGGAACATTTAATTTGGTGAAAATCTTGTACAAATCAAATGAATAAGAATTTTCAAGCACTCACAATCGCAATCTGAAATAGGATTCACTCCAGGACTGAATACATTTTCAAAGAAAGATCAAGTCCAGATTGAGTCAGAGGAACATTTAATTTGGTGAAAATCTTGTACAAATCAAATGAATAAGAATTTTCAAGCACTCACAATCGCAATCTGAAATAGCATTCACTCCAAGACTGAATACATTTTCAAAGAAAGATCAAGCCCAGATTGAGTCAGAGGAACATTTAATTTGGTGAAAATCTTGTAAAAATCAAGTTAATAAGAAATTTCAAGCACGACTAACAAGCGAAATCTGAAAAAGGCTTCACTCCATGACTGAATACATTTGCAAAGAAAGAGAAGGTTCAAGTCAAAATTGAGTCACAGGAACAAACTTTGGTGACGGTAGCTGTGTCTCCGGCGAGAAAGTTCAATCCAAATACGATAAATAAGGAGAAATACGTACCGGAGAACCACCGACAAATCTAACTGCTTTCACCATGTCTCCGGCGAGAAAAGAAACAAAAATTGGGAAGAAGAGAATACAATTGGCGTTTAGGAGGAAAGAAAAAAAAAAAAAAAAGAAGAAGAAGACGAAGATTACAGCAGTCTAAATATAATTAGTATAGTACCCGTGAGATAGGAATTATATATTAAATATACCAAGGTTTATGCAAAGGCAAGTCTAGCTTAGATGGTAAGGCTACTTATTTGTTTATTTCTAAATTATATGAATAGGCTAGGGTTCGAACCTTGCAAGGCACCTATGTTTAATTTCTAATTGTTTGTTTTTTTTTTTTTGTTTTTTAATTCTAATTATTTTTTTTTTAATTCTAATTTGTTTGCTTTTGATTTTTATTTTTTTTTTATTTTTTGCTTTCGAATTCTAATTGGTTTTTTTTTTTAATTCTAATTTGTTTGCTTTTGATTTTTAATTGTTTTTTTTTTTTTGCTTTTGAATTCTAATTGGTTTTTTTTTTTTTTTAATTCTAATTTGTTTGCTTTTGATTTCTAATTGTTTTTTTTTTTTTTGAATTCTAATTGTTTTTTTAAAACATTGTGACTTCTTCCCTATTTTACTTTTATTTTTACTTTTTAATATTAATAGTGTGATGAGTAATTTATAATATATATGTTTTCCATTCGAACTATTTTATCTAATTAATTATATTTTATATTTTGTCTTAAATATTTTTTATACTGATGTATTTTAAGTTTTCATCTTTAGTCAACAATATTTATGGCTAGGTCTCTAAGTGTTTTATTTTTATTTTTTTTTTCAAAATATCTCGTTGGTAAAACCTTCGCCCCCACTGGAGAAGATTTCTGGATTTGCCACTGTTGCCAACATTAATTCCACTTTGAGGGTTGTACAGCTCTCAGTATAAGACGATGAGAATATAATTGTGTTGTATTCAATAATAATGTCTGAGAGTACAGGGAGTGAATATATAGAGATGCTAGATAGAATCCTAGTCTAACACGAATAATATAGTCCTAGTATATGAATAATATAGTCCTAATACTTCCCCTCAAGCACAAGGTTGGCTAGCCAAAACATTGAGCTTGTCACGGAGAGAGTTAAAACGAAGAGACGACAAAGACTTTGTGAAGATATCCGCTAGTTGATCCTTGGTTGAAACAAAATGCACCTCTAACTCCTTTTTGGCTACTTTATCGCGAACAAAATGATAGTCAATCTCAATGTGCTTCGTGCGGGCATGAAACACCAGATTGACACATAAATAAGTAGCTCCCAAATTATCACACCATAGTCGAGGAGGAGACGCAGTAGGGATGCCGATTTCGTGTAACAGAGAAACGAGCCATGTAACTTCTGTAGATACATCAACGAGTCCCTTGTATTCTGCTTCACCATAGTCGAAGAGGAGACGCAGTATGGATGCCGATTTCGTGTAACAGAGAAACAAGCCATGTAACTTCTGCAGATACATCAGCGAGTCCCTTGTATTTTGCTTCAGTCGAAGAACGTGCTACAGTCCGTTGCTTCCGACAAACCCAAGATATAAGATTACTGCCCAAGAACACAGCAAAGTCGCTAGTAGATTTGCGATTATTCGGATCGTCAACCTAATATGAGTCAGAATAGGCGTGAATATCCATAGATGTGGACCGAGAAATACGCAGGCCAAGATGCATGGTGCATTTGACATACCGCAGGACTCTCTTTAGAGAGGCCCAGTCTGTAGTAGTGGGAGCATGCATATGTTGACACAAGAGATTAACAGCATAAGATAGATCCGGACGAGTTACCGTAAGATACTGGAGAGCACCAGCAAGACTCCTGTATTGTGTTGGATCGGCATAGGGAACGGCCACGTCGTCTGTGATTTTCGCAGAAGAGACAGGCGTGATTACTGGTTTGCAGTCCACCATGCCAGCACGTTTGAGAATATCCTTCATGTACCGTTGTTGGGATAAAAGCATACCGCCAGATAATGGGACAGTTTCTATTCCCAAGAAGAAAAGAAGGCACACCCATATCACGAACTTTAAATTCAAGTGCTAATTTATCAATAAGAGCAGTAACACGATCTGAGTCAGAACCCATAATTAAAATGTCATCAACATACACCAAGAGATAAAGACGATACTGTCACGAGAATAGATAAAAAGAGACACATCCGTCTTAGAAGGCGAGAAGCCCACAGAGACAAGAAAATCATGTAGCCTTGTGAACCATGCACGTGGAGCCTATTTGAGACCCTATAGAGATTTTTTAAGCAAACATACATGATTAGGTAACGACTTATCCTCATAACCAGGTGGCTGTCGCATGTAAACAGTTTCAGCTAGCTCGCCATTTAAAAAGGCGTTGTTATATCCAACTGGCGAATAGACCACCTGTAACACCCCTGATTTTCAACAACTTTTAAAACCAATTAAAGCTTAAGGAAGAGATAAAGTCTACTCATCAAGATTAAAATTAAAGCGGAAGCTAATAAACAAGTACGGGAGATGCTATGCCACACATATACATCTATAGGTGCACAGGCTAAGTCTAAACAAAACGTCATACTCATACTCATAAAAATCCATGGCTCACAAGCCAAAAGTCTAACTAAAACAGTCACAATGAGCTACACTAACTAACAAACTGCTAGCGCGCTCTCCAATATGCTACTCAAAACCTGTAAAGCAACATAAAGATAGGGCATGACACCCGGTCAGCGAGCATTGCTGGTAACCCATCAATACGTGTTAAATAACATATATAAATAGTATAAGTCAAAACCATTTTCGAAACGGAATACAGTATATATCATTTCAAAAGCCATAGAGAGAAGTCAACTTCAAGACTCATTCACACTCTCAAAGGAAAAGGGAATCAACACCCTTACGACAACAATAAGACAAGAATACCAACAGTAAACAATACAACTCGAGATGTATTCTACTGATCACAAAGTAGAATACATCAAGACATGCTCAATTGCAAAGAATACGCATTCACACACTGGCAACTACATGCCACAGTGACAACTACATGTCACAAGTTTCACAGTTCCAACCTTATTCCATGTTCCAACCTTATGGCTACCCCCGGTCTTATTACAGTTCCAACCATTACCTCCAAGTACCACCCTGTACTTCTGAGTCCAACCTTATACCGCCAGGGACCGTCGTCCCTCCTCCAACAACCTCTAACAAAACCACCTACATAAGAGTACACGAGGGTACTATTCATTTCATTCACACAACCACCTACATATGAGCCTAGACTCAGGTCACACCACCAATTTGAATCAAGGCCACACGAGGACCACATCATTACCAAGAAGACTAAGGCCTCATAAACCTTAATCATGCATCGATCAAAGGGTACAATGTTTACACACGTTCACATCATAGGAATCAATCAATGGATCACAACAAAGATATGAAACCATACTCAACGACGAAGGATCACAATCCGACACCAAACGATGGTCAACACAAGTTGCCAATCTCAATAGGAAAGAACAAACCGCACACACTAGCATTTCAACATCAAACTAGCATGTTTATCAAACAGGTAAACCAAAAGTAGTTCCATAGAACATACAAGACTCACAATAGCCCAACGAATCACAAAGTCGGACCCTTAGCACGATTCAAGACACCAAATCCTACATGGATTCCTAACATACCGTTCTAGACATACGAAACATCAAGAAGACACTCAAATCGCCCAATAAAACAACATCGGGAGGTCAAAACATCAATACCGAGTCAAAAAAATCACGGGGAACAAATCCCGAACAGCAACTCTAAACCCTAAACTATAATAAAGAATAGTTTTTAATAGTTCGGGTTGTCGGGCTAGCCCTATCGGGCCGTCGGGCTAATCGGTTTCGGGCTCGTCGTGTTAATGTGTTTTATCGGGCTAGCCCGTTCGGGCCATAGCCCTGTCGGTTTCGATTTTATCGGGTTGGCCCATCGGATTCGGGCTAAATTGACATCCCTAGTGCACACTATGTTGTGCACCAGAGGTTTCTTCTTCACCTGTAAAGCATTTTCAGACAATTTTTCACTTCCAAAACACCATCAACACATTGTACAACATCAACAAGTCATCTAATAGCTCAAACACATAATATTCTAGCATTTCTACTCATTTCTAACTACATAGCAGTGACTTCACAGAGTCAAAAGAGATTGGGAATCCATGGGGTTATACCTTTGTAGACTTCTTCTCTTTGTGTGGTTCCCTTTCCTTTGTTTCTAAGATGTTACCCTCCTTCACCACCTATTTCCTCAAACAAGCATAGGTACATTATAAGCTTAAGTCAACCTCAGAGATGAAAGATTAAGAGATGAAACCTTAAGGGAAGAAGATGAAGGAATGAGATGAAATCTTACTGTGATTTTCCCTCTCTGTTATCAGACTTGGAGTGTAGGAGGAAATGAAGAAATCAGGAGATGGCAAAGCAAAGGTGATATTTATATAGGGTCCAAAACCCTAGGAAACTTGCAAATGATTGGAGGGTGGAAAAATGATAATTTAGTTTAGCTTGCAAAAATATCAGACAAAGAGATGTGGAGTCTAGTGGTTCACCAAGCTTCATAGACCAAGGTATAGAATCATGGTTTAAAATAGTTTTGGGATAAAAATGCATTTTTCCAAAAATACTTTCTAGACAACCACTTAGTTTTAGGTTTCTCAAGTTTCTCCCGATTTCACTCAGATTGACTTTTGGATCAAAAACTTGGTACGCAATGTACCCGAAAATCTAGGATTTTAGATTCAAAATAAGTCCCGGTGTTGAATTTACTTAAAAGTGGCTCAAAATAATTTATTCAAACATCGATTTCATCGCAAAAATTTTTATAGGGTGAAAAATGGCTATTTTGGAATTTCTTAAAACCGAATTTATAAAATTAAATTTTGGGTTGTCACACCTCCGTTGTTGACGGAGAACAAACAACGCCGGATTATATATAAAAAAAAAAAATCACCGGCTGTTCCCCCTTCATCTACGTCAACAATGGTGGCTGTTTTTCCGGTGTTGACGGACGGTTTAGATGGCTGGACGTTCCGTAACGGCGGCGATGGCGCTGGTTCGCGAAGAGGTCGGCGGTGGTGGCGAAACCGGGTTTTATCGGTGGTAACGCCGCTGCTGTCTCCTCCTTCAGGCGACAGGTGACGGCTGACGTCCCGCGACGCGGCGGTGGCGGTTGTTCGCGAGAGATCAGGCGGAGGTGGCTTAAACTGTGGGGAAAGGGGATGAGCATAACCTTACTTATTTTGGAGAGGTTGTGTCCTGACCTGACCATGTGGCTATCCCCTTTCTTTGTAATAAAAATATCTTTTTATACCTTTAAAGTGAGTAATTATTGAATTATTCTTGTTTAAACCACATTGTGGGTGTGCAACTGGTTTTGGTTGATTTTTTGTTAATAATTTTTTTTTAAATAGTCATAACCGATCAAAAAATTTGAACTAATTTTTTTTTTTTTTTAATTTCATAATCAGTAACAAGTAACAACTAACAAGTCATTACACAATACACACATCAATTTAAGTGTTCATTAAACTCTCATATATTCAAAATAGATGCATTTGTGCGATAAACTAAAAATTATTAATTTCATAACCAATCGATAACTACAAAATCGATAGTGTGGCACGCGATCTTTCTTATGTTGGTTGTGTCTTAAATGAGTGCCGATCTCTCAAACGACACTTTGAATCAGTGTCCATTTATTTTATTCTTAGATCAGCGAACAAGTTTACTCATGCACTAGCTAGAGCTACTCGTTCTCAGCTTGGTCCGTTGTGTTGGTTATCAGTGATTCCTTTTTGTATTGAGCACCTATTTTAATAAAGTTATTCTTATTTCCTTTCAAAAAAAAAAAAAAACTACAAAATTTAAGATAATGCATATGCAACCGTTGCAACTAAATAATCGGAGAACGGAGGAGGACAAGCCCATACAAAAAAATGATAAAGAAGTGTCAAAGATAGTACCATTGAATCATTTATATATCTTCAATTACATAGTAAATTAGTTTTATTTATTTTTGTCTCACCCATATATCACATAATAAATGGATAAAGTTATAGATATCATAAATTTTCACCATGACAATAAAAATTTTATTTTTATTGATTATTACGAATTATCTGACTGCATATTACAGTAAAATTACATTTATGTATTAATTAAATATGAATATAAATTATATATTATCCAATTAGATTAGATTATATTCTGGTGGAAATTTGTGTACTTGCTTGATCCCATAGGCCATAACAAATACTGCAAAAACATTTGTACCTTTTTCTTTTGTGTAACTTGTAATCTTGTACGAAGACCGTTATATCAGTTGGAAACGTCCAGAACCGCAGTTTATAATCCCCTACGACAATCTACCACCAATAATATCCTACAACGCCACGTGTTCGGAGTTCATTGGTCTGGCGGAAAAGCCTCAATAGTCCAGCAATGGCTACTTGACCAGTCAATCTTCCACCTCATTGAGCTTCATAATTATTCTTCTTAATAATACTCCGTAATTACTTTTCTGTTCCTGCTTTCTACCAGCGTTCGTCTCCGAATCTTCGCTTTCCGGCGAGATCAAAGGTAAAACCCTAGTTTTTTCATCCCAAATTTAAGGTTTTAATCACTTTTCAGACACAAAATCATCGGAATACAAATTAAAGGGAAGAAGAAGAAGGGAAAAGCTGTTTTTATAGTCGGAAAAGCTGTTAATTGCGTTGAACAATCCGATCAAGCTTTTTTAGCCGAGCGTCAGTTGTGTATCGTTGATTCTTTGTATATCGTGCGTTTACGTTTTTATGGTTTTAGTTATTAGATTGTTTGAAACTCCAGTCCAGCGGTAGTGTCAGTTTTCCATGGAGTCTCGAATTCTCATGGGATTGCTTGTTGTTAAAGCGATGGAGTTGATTAATTTAGGGTTTGGTTGAATCTTTTTAACATCAGTTAATTGACTTATGCGTGTTTGTTCTGGCTAGGTGAATTTTGATTTCTTCCATAGTTGGTAATAGTAGTTGGTCAAACTTCAATGCCTTCGGCTATTTCGCCTCAGTGGCAAGATAAGGCTAGTGGGTTTTTCCAATCCTCAGGTAACTCATCTTGAATTTAGTTAACTTCTCCTTGACTTCTTGTATGAACACTGTATTTCTTAGGCATGATTAACTTTTTGATGTAGGGGCCAAGCTGAAAGAAGCTGGGCAGTCTGCAGGAACAGTTTTGGGGGAGGTTGCTAAGGATGCAAAGGGAAATGTCACTGAGGTTGCAGAGAAGGTTGGATCTGTCGTCAAGAGCCGTTGGTCATTTCTACAGCAGCCATCAACAAGACAAGCTATGCAAGAGCGTCTAATTTCTGCAGCTGCCACCACTAGCTTATTCTTGAGGAAGGGTTTTTCAGAGACAAAGGATAAGGTTGTTGTTGGGAAGACAAAAGTTGAAGAGGTAATAACTAGAAGGAAATTTTATGGTGTCTGTGTTTAAGTAGTCAATGATTAAATAGAAGCAATTGGGGAGTGTGCATCATCCTTTATAGGTTTGCGGGTCCTAGAAACATTTAACTTCTATAAGAGAAAGAGTATTGATATTTACATAACTAGTAGAAGGGAATTGGCAAAGTAATAGGTGATGCCATCACTAGGTTACCAAATTTGGCTGTCACATGTGCCCTTAATTTTTTATATGGATATGTTATTATTTTTCAGTAACCCTAAGGCAATCATTATGAAATCAGTTTGTCTGGTAATCCATTGTTATTAATAATCTACTGTGTATTGGTGTATGTATGTCCAAGTCTCGTATATGCATACACAAATTGGGTTAAATCATGATGGGCCTTCATTGAAGCCTAGATATTATGCTAATTAGCTAATATAACTTACATTGCAAGAAAATAGAATCTTGAACATATAGGGTAAACTGTGAATTGGTTTAACATACAGTGTTGACTTTAGGAGAGAGAAACAATAAGAACTTTCCCACTGCATTAGCATGAGAAAAAGGGGATTTTAGAAATACTTCTGACAATGGCTTACAACCATAATATTATGGTTCAGGTGGCAAAGAAAACAGCACAAAAAAGTAAGACCCTGATGACTGATATCGAGCGCTGGCAGAAGGTATATAAACCCCTATTAAGCTTTTTATTTTTTCTGATTAATTACTTTGTGAAGTGGAGACTAACTAATCATGCTTTCCCTTTTACCAATTGCAGGGAGTTGCAAGCACTGATGGTATGTTTCCCCTCTGTTGATGACCATATGACTTGCTATAATTTTAGATGCTTTATTGGTCTGCATATGTTCAAATTCAGACGAATGATCAAGACACTTAAACTGTGGGGAAGGGGGATGAGCATAACCTTACTATTTTGGAGAGGTTGTTTCCTGGCCTGACCATGTGGCCTAACAGTCAGTGACTGAGCTTTGGACCTCTGCATTAGGTCCAACCTCTAATATTAGTTCATGACTACATTTTTTGCCTAATATTTTTCTTAAATTAAATTTCACATTTTGCACAATGCTCATGATAGGATGTAATTTTATTTTATTTTTCATTGGGGAAAAAACTAGCCAAACCAGACAATTTTAGATGCCAAATAATTCTCTTGATACCACTGTGCTTTGCCAATTTGGATTTGCCTCTTTAGTGCTGGTGGCCCTTGTCTATGTGACAAACAGTGTGGACTATAAGTTATCGATGGTTAGAGAGAGTCTACTTACTTTATTTTATTTGTCTCCCCAGTGTTTGGAGTTCCCATTGAGATCACTGTTCATAGGCAACAATCCACCAGGCCTATCCCATCTATATTGGTCAAATGTGCAGATTATCTTGTGTTATCAGGTGATAATAAAACCCAATAAATTGGCTTTCTGATCTTGTTCATTGAAGACGAAACAATTTGATGAGCATGACTTCCTTCTTTTGGTGCAGGACTCAATTCTAGGGGGTTATTCAAGTCTGAAGGAGACAAAAAGACCATTCAGAATTTGGTTTCACTATACAATGAAGGTATATGACCATCTGAATTCATGTGGTACTCATTGGACTTCTACATTTCTGCTAACGGTTTTCATTCATTCTTGTGTTACAGATTCAAGTGCAACACTGCCTGAGGGTTTAAATCCACTTGATGTTGCAGCTCTTATAAAGTGCTATCTTGCAAGCCTGCCTGAGCCATTGACAACCTTCCAGTTATATAATGAAATCAGAGATGCTCGCTCTAGCATACCTACAATGAGAAATATATTGAAGAAGCTTTCTACTGTCAACTACATGACACTGGAATTGATTACTGCATTGCTGCTACGTGTTAGCCAAAAATCTCCAGTCAATGAGGTAGGATCTATCTGTGTGGTGCCAAATATAAGATACCATGTTCACTTTTCTTCCATAACTTGCTAGATCCCTAGAAGTGCTCCCTGGTGTTAATTGTTTGAAATGCTTTTTTTCTTTCTTCAGTCTCTGGTGACATTAGTGTTTAAGGTTTGTGCATATAGATTTGCTTATGAATTTTTCTCTGGAGTGGTGATTAAAAATTGTATTGACATGATTTGTTCTGGCAGATGGATGCTCGAAGCCTTGCCATGGAAATAGCTCCCATCATTATGTGGCAACAAGGAAAGAGTCCAGACCAATATAAACAGTTCTGGAGTCAGTTACCAAAAAATCACCAGAAGACTCGTTTAGATTCTGATTCTAACTATAGCCCATGGGACATGCTTGCAGGTGAATGATATTCCATTAATTATAAGCATTTCTGTTTCTCATACTTTTGCCAATTTTCATTACATGCATTTCTGCGAAAGTCGACTTACTGTGTTACTATATTTTTGGGCATTTAGATGAAGATGAAAATGTAGACGCTTCTTCTCCTATTCCTTTGGATGATGGCTTGCCTGTTGACTTTGGTGCGATCGAAGTTGTTCAGTGCTTGATTGAACATCATAATGCAATATTCACAGACGCAAATGAGACTGTTTGGAGGTGACAGATAACTCAGTTTCAGCGACGCTTATGCTCTGGAGATTCAGTAACCCATTGCCAATAACTTTTCCAGAATGGAGTTTGAGGAGTGTGCCGTCTCAACATTGGAGAGTTTCAGGGTTTCCGCATGCATGTCACTGTAAATTTTTGTTTATTTGCAATGGTCATAGGTTATGGTCTGTCATGAGTACAAGAAAAAGATTATTTTTTTGTCATCTTTGAAGTTTGAAGATGATTGATTGTACATGGGTTCATCAGTGACATAGCAGACATGATTGAAGGGCTTGTGCTTGGGCTTGGAGACTTGGAGTTAATGTTTTATTCTGGGACACATGCAAATAGTTATAAACCCATATTCTACATGCATCTCTTTAGTCTTTTATTTGCTTACAGTTCAACAAAATTTTCCAATATAATGTATGTGTATACAGTATACTCACTACAGTCTACAACAATTTATAATAAATAAATAAATAATGAACAAATACAGCACTCCAAACAATTAAAGATGAGCCTACAAACTGCGAATTGCAACATAATTATGAGTTATGTGGATCTCATAGATATAACGATTTTGTTTTGTTTTGTTTTCGTTTTTTTTTTTTTGTTGTTTTCGAGTGAAGACAGTAACTGCGTAACTTGCAATCCCTATTCGAGGATGATGTGTAGTGCATTGTGTAAATCTCACAAGGAAGTAAAGCAACCTACTCAAACCATGAATTCGCTATGCATTGGATAAAATCAAATTCGTGCTGCAATCACTACTCAAAAGTGTGTGCGGGATAAACCTCCCATGTAACCCTAGTCAGCAAAGGATCACACCACCTTGTAACCCTTGTCAGCAAAGGACCACAAGGAGATAAACTAAGAAGATTGTACCTACAAGGGCCCCTCACACCTCAACTCCAAGGGCCCCTCACACCTCAATCACGGTGACTCATTGGCGTAGTAGCTAGGACCAAATACCTGTGCGACTGTACCTACAAAGAATTTGCTCACTTTAGATAAAATTCTCACACTGTCGCCCAAATACACGTGGCTACAAAGAGTTTGCCCATTTTAGACAAAATTCACACACTGTCGTCGTTATTCAAACCTTGATCTCTTCTCCCAAATATTACATACTGAATCAGTGAGATAAGTCCGTGTCAGCTATATCATTGTTTTTCTTGTCTCTATAATGGCTGGATAGTAATGCAGCCGGCAAGAGACATGGATTGGTATTCTTGATTGTCATTTTATTAATGTTAGTTTACTTTTTCTGACTTTTATTTTCCTTTTATCAAAACGTTAACTTAACTTTCATCACAGTTGTATATATTTCTGACCAAAAAATGACGGGAAATTCCCTTTTGAAACATTATTGACGACAAAAATCAACGGTTTAGTTGTTGGGTTTTGACGAGATTCACGTCTGCTAAGATCCCCTTATGGCTTTACCCAATATCCAACTCGATTTCTCACTTTCTCGTTAACAATCAGATTTTTCCCCCTTTTTTTTTATGTTTCTCGAAACTGGGTAGGATTTTCTGCTCAAATAAAATCCAGATATTTATCTGAAGAAAAATAGAAAAAAAATAGAAAAAAAATATATATACTATTCCAAATTATGGAGAGGTGCGATGATTCATTACCGGGAGGAGATGAAAATTCTCGCCCAATTGCTGATAATGATTCCCAAAGCTCAATCTTGAGCTCAAATCTCTTCTTGGATGGCGTTGGAGAGGTTGTTGTCACCCTTAATTCCGACGGGTTGTCTTGTAGATCAGCTGAATCTGTTTCTAACGTAAGTTTTTTTCCATTTTATGAATTTGTTTTCGTTGGTATATAATTTATAGGGTTGTTTAAAAGATCCGAAGAAGATGAAGATTTATATCTTTTTATTTTATTATTTTAGCCATGTACTCTGCTTGGAGGTTTCCCTATTGTTTGGGCATTGATCTGAAACAATGAATTCATCTAGAAGATTGTATAATGCCAATGAGGTCATTTCTTAAGTTTCTGAAGTATAACATAGTTGGTTTGAATGCCACAATAAAGCGAAATCTATACATTATATATGTGTGATTGTGTGAATTAGTGTGAGTTGTTCACCTTGTTAAAGCAACTAAAGGAGACGATTTTGTATTCCCAACAACTTAATAGTGGATATGAAGTGTAGTGATGTATGTGGTAAATATGTTAGCAAGGTTAATAGTTTATTGAGATTGTATCATTTATGTTAGTGTTTTTTTATCCGAAACTGATTAACCTATCATGTATGTTAGTGTATGCTAGTTTTGTTGATCCAAGGCTTTCCTGGTTGACCAAAATCACCTGGATCGCTTGTGGATTTGAGTTTTTAAACCTAAAATGAGTATTCATCTTTCTTTTTTACTACTTAATAACAAATGCCATAACAGAGAGAAGGAAAGGAGGGTACTTTTAGGTATTGTCTGGTTATATCTGTCTGTTGTTTATTTTTACTGTTACCAGTTTTATTGTACTTACATTTTCTAAAGGAATAATCATTGGATTGTTTTGTCTATTCATGGTGGTAGGAGGATGATCCATCCCTTTGTTTAGGCTTAAAAATTTTCCGCAAATGCGAAATTTCTGTGAAATTATGTGATGTCTATGCCATTGACTCTCTTGGTTGGGGTTTGGTTCGTGAATCTTCGCTTCCAAATGCTAGTGGACTATTCTCTGGCTACTCATTTGAGGTTATCACTTATCATTTATCTTACAGAATTACAGTACCAACCAATAGTTTTTATTCTATTTTGTCTTAATCAGTGGGCTGAATTTTTATTTGCCATGGCAGATGTATAGGTTTGCTGTACACTATATTCAAAAGTCAAGAAACCACCCTACTGTTTGGATCCCATCGCAGTATTGTTTTGGCCATAAGGACCTGCGGACGTGCCAGATGTGGGTTAATCAGATCAGAGCTGTTCTATGCTTGCAGGGAGGGCGACCTAAAAATCTTCTGGTACATTTGTTTAAGTGGCTAATGCTGCAATATGATGAATTATAAAGTTAGTAATTCAGTAATGAAGTCTTGTCGTTAAACTATAAACATAAGATAAGCTTGTTGTAAGATTTTTTTCCAGACTTTCTTTTTGATTGACTAGGTTTTTGTTAATCCAAGGAGTGGGAAAGGAAATGGATGTAGAACTTGGGAAGCTGTGGCTCCTATATTTTCACAAGCCAATGTAATGACGAAGGTAATTTCTAAGCTGTAGCTGTCCCTTCTGATTTGCTCTTCTAGAATTTGTAAGATAACCAAGGACTTTCCAATCTCATGTTCGTAGTTATACACAAATCATTTACCATTGATTATGCATAAGAATCTATTTTATCCAATTAGCTCATGTCTAGAGTGATCATTTAGTTGGCCAAATAAAATTATTGAGGCTGAAATTGCCTAACATATGAGTATATATTTAACTTAGGGAGTTTTTAAGGCCTTTTGTTGTTTCTGTTGGTTACTTATGTCCTATTAGTGAGCCCAAAAGTTGGTGTTATTTTGTCAGGCAGATTCCATTTTCTGTCTCTTTCTATTCAGCAAATCATTTTGGTAGAAGTCTTCATATGGGGGTTCGGATGAAATCCTGTATGATAAGAGCATCTTCAATAGTGGTAGTTTTTTTTTTTTTTTTTTTTGGAGTTTTTGCAGGTGTGATTAGGAAAGAGAAAATGGGAGGGGATGGAAAAAGAAAAAAAAAAAAACAAAACAAAACAAAATCTGAAACTAAAAAAATAATAATGCTTAACGCGCCCGGCGGGCGTGTGCCGTGGGCGCGCATGTTCTGCGCAACGCACAGATCAAAGAGCAAGTGGGACCCACATTTCCGACCAAAAAACCTATTTACTGCAAAGACCTCAATTTTTCTCTCACCTCACCCTCTCTCCTCCACCTCACTTATTTCTCCTCAAAAACCGGTCCTAAATCCCCTAATGGGGATGCTCTAAGCCAACTGAGGTGATTTTTCATGTGGAGATATTGAAATGATGAGCTGGACCTTCCTATGATTTACTTCCTGCTTCTTGAAAACGTAAGGCTTCAAGTCTAATTTGTGAAATGAATCCATACAAAATAACTTTGAAAAAGAACAAGAAACCTTTATAAATACAGTAATAAAAACTAGATCATGAAAACTATAATGGATTATATGAAGATTCTTGGAATTGAGGCAGTTGGCTAGGGATGGAGTACAAGTTCTTTCATCAATTAAGATTTGACAAATATGAAATGCCGTCCTCAAAGCTGTGGAGATAATTTGACATGATGAATACCTTACTTCGTAGTAAAGTTCTTGTTTCAAAGTGATTTGAAAACTAACTTAGTCATGCAAGTTTGATGGATGGGTTATTGAAGTGTTGTAGATTAAGAACCATCTTCCATTCAAAAGGGCTGTTCTCCACAATTTGTTTTCAACAATTTTGATCAGGTCACTGTAACGGAGAGGGCAGGGCAAGCTTTTGATGTAATGGCCTCAATCTCAAACAGGGAGCTTAATTCATATGATGGTGTGGTAACTGTTGTAAGTGACAAGACTTCTTTCTAATCTATGCTAGAATTTCTTCTTCTTGAAACATGACTTTTGCTCAAGAAATTGAAACGTAGAATCTCTGTGCAGAAAAACTCTATTTCCACACTTTATTCCTAATTGTTATGCTATTCAAATCTGTGAGTAATTGTTTAAGAACATAAAAGAAACCTTGATTTGGACTATAGAAACAGTATTCTGCAAATTGAAATTTGTTCTCTTAACCTCTTTACGGTTCTATACTATTTGCTACAATTTCAGGGTGGTGATGGTTTTTTTAACGAAGTACTAAATGGCCTTCTATTGTCAAGACATAAAGCTTCATACCCACCACGCCCAACAGAATCTATTCATCCTGTTGAGAATGGTAGCAATGGGATGGCTCATGATGCAAATGGAAACACAGAAGAGCCTTCTGATAATAATGAAGATCTCTCACCTCTTCTCACTCGTTCAGAACTTGATGGGAGGCAAGGTACAAATCTCAGTAGGTAAACTTTTCATATAGTTTCTCTTCTACACATTGCCAATATCTGCATAACATTCTCATTGAAATGTATCTGGCGTTACAGGAGAGACTGGTGATCCTTGCAACACAGGTTCGTTAAGTTACAGTTCAAGGCAATCAACTGAATTAGTCGGTTATTTCAAGTCTTATTTCATCCTTGATTCTTATAAACAATTTGTTCACAAGGCTTTCACTTAGTATTGCTTTATTCTTTTAACTTTGCTTTCATCATGGTTTGGACAGATCGGGATTCTTTTTTATTTCCAAATGAACGCTTCCGGTTCGGGATTATTCCATCAGGATCCACTGACGCCATTGTAATCTGGTACATACTTTTATAGCATCGAAGAAATCACTTCTAGTTCTAGACTAATGAATCCAATAGCATATTTTGTGAAAAAATGCCTTGTCTTTCACTTTTGCAGTACTACTGGTGCTCGGGATCCTATAACATCTGCGTTACAGATTGTCCTTGGTAAAAGCGTGTGCCTTGATATTGCTCAAGTTATAAGATGGAAAAAAACGTCCACCTCAAAGGATGAACCCTGCGTACGCTATGCAGCCTCTTTTGCTGGGTATTATTTGTTTACCATTAGTAATATAGTATAATATGGAGTATTCCCTATGGGTCACATATTAAAGTGAAGCCAATTCTTGATCAGAACTGACTAAACCATTCTTTCCCGAATGTCCACTACTTTGATACTCATCAAAAACCAAACTATCTAATAGAAACTGTGAAATTTAACTTTACTAAATTCAAGTATGGAGTATACTACCGGTGCCTCTGAAGTATTTTGTGAGGCATGTTGGAGTTAAATCTATGCTAAATTTAATGCCGATATATTGGAGTAATAAAGTGTTATGTCTTAATTAACTGCTGAGATAAGGAATGTTTTTCTCCTCTTTGATTTATTTTATTCTCTTGATAGGTATGGATTTTACGGAGATGTAATCACAGAAAGTGAAAAATATCGTTGGATGGGACCTGTACGATATGATTTTGCAGGAACTAAAGTGTTCCTTCGACATAGGTATGTTTGGTTGATTCTGCTAATGTGCACGGATGAAATTATTAGGTTTTTTTCTATAATTATTCTTGTGAATCTCGTGCAAAACGAGCTTTACTGACAGAAGTAACATAAATTGAGAGAGGGTTTTAAAAGAAAACCTTATTCTTAACTCCAAAATAATATGCTTAATAGCATTTCTCTTAAATATTTTCTTTATTTACGTTTTTTTTTTTTTTTTTTTTTTTTATAGCTCGTATGAGGCAGAAGTTGCATATTTGGAAGTTGATTCAAAGAAAGCAAACTTGGGTGAACAGGGAGGGCTACAAGTGTGTAGGAAAAAGTCACTTTGTAGCCTACGTAAGAAGCCCGAAAGAATAGTGTGTCGTGTGAACTGCAATGTTTGTAACTTAAAAGCAGGCGAAACATCACCAAGACATGAGATATCTGAAACATACTCAATGGGACCAAACTCGAAGGAATCGAGATGGTTGAAGTCCAAAGGGCGGTTTCTAAGTATTGGTGGTGCAATAATATCTTGTCGAAACGAAAGAGCTCCTGATGGCCTGGTGGCCGATGCACATCTTTCAGATGGTTTCTTACATCTTATATTGATCAAAGACTGCCCTCATGCATGTTATTTATGGTCTCTCTCTCTCTCCCCGTCTCTCTCACTCATTCACTACCAATCGTTTGACTTCCACTCGATTAGTGTTCATTATACACGACGCAAGTCTTGTATTCTCCAATATAGTATTCTAACAGCGATGAAAATACGTGCAGGCATCTTACCCAGCTTGCAAAGAAGGGCGGGAATCCCTTGGATTTTCAGTTCGTTGAGCACCACAAGGTATGTATGCCTCTCTCTTTTACCTCGACCACGAAGCAATGCTAGCTCAGTGTTTCAGAGGTCTGACTTTCTGCACAAATCTTGCACAGACGACAGCTTTCACGTTCACTTCTTTTGGGAAGGAGAGCGTATGGAACATAGATGGCGAGCCCTTCCAAGCGCATCAACTCTCGGCGCAAGTTTTCCGCGGCCTCATCACCATGTTTGCCACTGGCCCTGAAGTGTAGCCTCAGAAGGTGCATATATGTTTTCTTCTTCTTTTGCAGCAAATATTATCCTGTTCTTGAAATGGATCCTCAGATTTGTATAGCAATTACTAAAATCCTCTCTCCTTGCTGCCACCTCCTCCCCCCATGTAATGTATACCATTTTGATAAATTGTTGGTCAGATTAGAATTTTGCAATCAATATGATCTTTGCTTTAGCTTTTTCTACATTAGCTCTTCTTATACCTTTTTATGTTTTTGGCTGGATTGAATATTGTCAACTCTTTTTTTTTTTTTTTTTTTTTTTTTTTTAATAATTTACGGGAAAGCCCACAGTCACTATTCGGATCTGGCCGCTCTAGGTGAAGCTTATTTTGTAACCTTAGTTGATAAAAAGATCACAAATAAGGTAAACCAACTTAGCTGACTGGCTCAAGCCAAGAAGATCAATAGATAGCTCTTATGCTTAAACTTCGAACATTTTGATTATTAAGCAAATTGTCTGACTAACTTGACTAGGAGTTGCTCTCCCAAATATTGTCAACTCTTGTCCTTGTGATAAATACTTAATATAATCTCAAAAGCATACATGATTATACTAATGCAAAACACATTTAACACTAAATAATTTTTCTGTATCCAAAGATCTAAGTTGTCTATATTACAAGACGTTTAAACATGTCATCGATAAATCCAACATCTTTATATAATCAAATATTTTGTACGATTACTCGTGCAAACTATATCAATTGATAATATGATAAGGTTGCTAAAGTGCAAGTACAATAAATTAATATTTCGTAAAAATTTTGAAATAATTTGTAGTTTATCCTAAATATGCCACTGTTTGGAAGTACAACAGCACCAAGCCAAAAATAGATATCGTACCGGAGATATCATGCCCCGTCTTTACCAAGCATGCATCATGTGGAATTGGGGTTTAGGTGATTAACGTTTTGGATGAAGACAGTGACAACGTGCCAACATTTGATAAAGTAATGTTTTTTTTTTTTTAATAATCAATTTTTTTTTTACAAGAAAAATCTCAGTCATTATCTGAGTGTGTGTATTGAGTAAAAATTCTTTCATGTTTAATAGATTACAAATCACATGTGAGAGGTTAAACCGCACTAAGAAAACTATGCGCAATGAATTCGATCAAGAATGTGTTGGTAAGAATCAAATACGTGACATGTGCGAAAATTATGCTCCACCCTTTTACCATCCTTTTAACTTTTAAAAAAAAAAAATAATAATTAAATAAGTTTTGCTCGCCAACTATCATATAGTCATGGGTTCAAATTTCGATGGTGGGGACTTAGATTCTTTGAGGTGAAAATGCTTGAGAAAATATAAAATATATACTAACATGTAAAGAATCATGAATACTTGTGAAATTATATAGATTTGCTGATGCCAAGACCTTGTAGTCTAATGGCACCCGGGTTGGACTAACATGTTAAGAATCATGAATACTTGTGAAATATAGATTTGCTGCTGCCAAGACCTTGTAGTCTAATGGCACCCGGGTTGGACTCCTATACGGGAGGTTGCGGATTTGAGCCCGGGTTGGACTCGCATATAGAAGGTTGCGAGTTTGAGTCTCAGTGGAGACGTTATTGGCTCTTTGTGCTTTAGTAGGTTGAGAAAGTAGTTATGAACGTATGAACAAATACGGCAAGTTACCACTAGCCTTTACCTTCATTAGCGTTTGATCAGGATCATTAGGACTCTCTTTGGTTTGCTTTCAAAAATATAGATTTGCTGCTAGCTACGTTGTCCATTTTGGTTGGGAGAATAATATTTTTTTTTCCCATATTTATTTATATCAAAGTATAAAACCGTCTTTTTCATTTAAAATAATGAAAATGACTTTTTTATTAAACAATTTTGGGATTAGTTATTCTAGATAAATAAAATATGTATTGATTTTTTAAAAAAATGTTTTTGAAAGATTGTGTTATAAGAATTTAGTGTAATTTAAATGCAACATATCAACGATATTCTCAATTTGGAAATAATAATATTACATTAATAATTTTGGTGGGGCTATATTTTCTAGATATAGGCCAAATATGTTATTGTATTAGAGCAGCATGTCAGCAGATTGAGAGTTCAAGATGACGGAGTTGAGCCGGGGGCTATCCCAAGCTTGCATAAGAGGCGGTGAATAATCATAGTTTACAAAGGAGTAGGCCAAGAACAAGTGGCGGCGTTGGAGAAGATGTAGCTAATCTTTGTTTAAATAAGTTACCAATTTAGTTTATTGGTTTAGTAGGTAGTATTTGAGATAACAGATTAAAGATCAAAATTTGATAATAATAATATGGAGATAGGGATTATGTTCAAAGTGAGCTGATCTCTTGTGTGTATTGATATTTGACTTTGTTTGTTGAGCTACTGAATTATCGTGATTTAAACCTTCCCAAATATTATGTCGGTTCGGGTGTACGAGGCCCTTCGAGGTGGGGATTTAAGTTTTGGAGAAGAAGGTTTGAGTCCTATATCACGTAATTTTATTTGTGGTAAGAGTAATTGAGTAAGATTGAAATATGGATCTCATTTTTAACAACAATAATGTTTTCTTTCGTTCCTTGTATTATTATTACGTAGTTAGTCTTTGTACTATAAACTAGTTATTATTGTTATTATTATTTGATGATTTTACAGGATCCAGTTTCATCATAAATAATTGAATACAGGTGTATAAATGGGAGTGAGAAAATAATATTTTTATTATCTGGGGCACTAGGCCCAAAGAATGAGTTATTAATGGATCAGTGAATAACAAAATAGTTGCTAAGAATTGAGTCTTGATATTTGTATAGAACGTTATTTAGGACAAGACACCACTAAGTTTGTGAACATAGAGATGATGTCTTAAAGAGAAACATGATGCCCCTTATATAAGTGTGTGAACTTCCTTCATTCGCAGACAAGTGCGGGCCTTCATTAACCTTCCACCTTAACCATATATTGTCCCATTTTCACCCTCCACTACTTTGTTGCTAGCGTCCTTCAAAGAAATATGTATAGCTTGATGTCCCTTCATACACAAGATGTGAATAGCTTGGTTGGTTGGTGTATGTTTGTGTTGCCAACTTTGAAAGTTGCATGTTTAGACTTAGCTCGTTACACTCTTTACCTATGTTGAAAAAATCGCTAGGCGCCCTCTAGGCGCCTGGGGATCGCCTAGGGCGCCTAGAGCGCCTAGAACGCCTAGGCAGGCGCCTAGAGCGCCTAGGCGGGCGCCTAGAACGCCTAGGCGAGCGCCTAGACGCCGAGACGCGATTTTTGCAACAGTGCTCTTTACATTCTTTCCTTCTTTAAGCCCAACTGGTGCCCCATTCACTCTTTTTAGACTAAGATATTCTCAATAAAATGAATTCCGAAGTCTTATAACCCTAATACCCTATCATTATTATTGTTATTATTTATTCGATCACATTCTTTATTATGTATGTATATATGGCAAACATACAAGTCAATCCAACCCAAATTATAAATTTTCATCAAATTTTTAAAAAATGGTCAAAGTTGCATCAACACATGAATTGCGAATTTTAAAATTAAAAGTAGTTTAAATTATCACTTTGCAACAAATGTTTGACTTTTTGTATTTTAATTCATCAATAAAGCCACTTTACACACACACACATATATAAATATATATAAATAAAGGATGATATGAGAATTATTAGTACCATCGTGAAACCTTGTAAATTAATCTCACATTCTATTTAAGATGGTTAATGGCTGACAGTTAAGAAAATATAGTGATGTTTCTATAATTACAGTGGTGCATTTAAATATACTTGATAGTGCATTTTCAGATAATGAGAACACACTCAAGATATATAATAGCACTCACATATGTGCACTATTGATTATAGTTATCTGCAGATACACTATTAAACATTTTAAAATATAATGTTATAATTACAAAAAAAGTATTGCATTATTATTTTTTTAAAAAAAATTATTGATTGTTTTAAATTGACATATAAGATTAGTTCGCATGTAATCACAAGATTATTGGTTTTTCTTAAAAAAAAAACAAAATTATTAGTTTTAATGGGATTTTTTTCCTATAATTTTAATGGGAGTTATAGACTCTATATATGAGAGTTTTGTAAACAAGCATCGGATTAAGTACACGCGATTCTGATCGTGCAGTGTAAGTGATAGCAAGGTGATTTACACGGTCTTATATAGTTATATAACTTATATGTGTAATTTAAAATAATATTGTGTTATTCAATTAGAGCAAATACTAATTTTGGTCTCATAAGTATTAATAAAATGACAATTTTGATTCACATGTTTAATTCCTATCAATTTTTCTCCACAATTATTATTTTAGTATCAATTTTCATCTACGACTACTGTTTTAGTGTCAAAATTCGCCACGTCGATCACCCCATTCGTTTAAGAGATGCTGACATATGAAATTATTAAGGATATTTTTATTATTTTCAAATTTGAGTATGAATAAATGAATTTAAACCCTAAGATCAATCATAATTCACAGTTCTCTTTCTCAAATTAAAGTAGGATGAAAATGAGAACTGCGAATTGGAATCGATCTTAAGAGTTTAAATCTCTTTATTAATGTTCAATTTGGGATCTTAAGTTGAAAAGGATGAAAATACCCTTCAAAATTTTAAATTTCGACATGTCTTAAAAGGAGGTGTGACCGTTGTGATGAATTTCGACACTAAAATAATAGTTGTGGATAAAAATTGATACTAAAACAATAATTGTGGATGAAAACGATCATTTTACTAATACTCGTGAGACTAAAATTGGTATTTGCTATATTTAATTATTATTTTTTAATTGCTAAGTCTTTGTCGGGCCGCCCTGTCAATCATTAACGCTGTTTTGATTATACAATACTAGTACATTTTTGGACCACGCGTATGCCTCGACAAACCTTTCATTATTACATCATTTGTTCGATTTGTGTGTGATCGGATAATGTTTGGTTTCTGACTTTTGTATTTTGATGGTTTTGTTTTGTTTGTTTACTTTATTGTTGAGTTCAATTTTTTTTTTTTATATATAAATATTATATGTAAACTTACTTGATAGAAAATTTATGGGACAAAGAAATAAAGGAATTGATATTTAAAGAATATGAATTATTGTTCTATCACCTTTGAGTTTTTTGCACTTTTGGTCTCACAATTATGGTGTCACTAACAACTTTGATCTACGACTTTTAA